GCTTTGAGCCATTGAAGTTCCAGGTTAAATTTACATGATGTTAAACACTTGTTAAATAATATTTGATCATGAATAAACCTTTTTGGCAAAATTGAGACCCTCTGAAGACCCCTTGAATTTGAAAATTTCTCTTTAAAACGCATGCATTCACTTGTCAACAATCAACAATGAACCTTTGCTTTTTATTCAATGGCGCCGAAACGGTCAGTGGATTAACAAAATTGGCGGTTCAATTCATTCGATGGCTAACTCTTCTCATCAATTCTAAAATGTACGTTTCAATAACGGGGGAGGGGACGCTCTGCAATATTGATTTGTTGTTAGACAAATATACAACTTTAGAATATGATATAAATTCTATACTCTAACCAAATTTGATAACATTTAAAATATTATTGTTTTGGTTTATAGCATTCTTATAATTCAAGAGATTTTTTTTTTTTTAAACGATCTTAAACTGAAACAATTGAATTTTCAGCAAACACTGTCAAAATCAGATTTATAGTCTAATAAATGACTATTATACTCAACTTCATTCTGAACCTCGCAATCTCTCCTCGTTGAGCTGAAACTGCTGTTTAATAAACTGACAGCGTCAATGACATCAAAATCCGTCCAAAATAGAAGCTTGTCTCTGTACGTTGTTTTTAAGGAACATCTCTTTTTTAGAAGTTGAACTTGAAAATAAAACTCTGTAATCTAAATATACCAAAGACACAAAACAACCTGCGATTCTTTGTAACGAACTTCGCATTAATCGAACATTCCCTGGTAAAAGTATTTATAGTGAGCGCTAAATCGCTCGTGCATGAAAAACCAGTTTCTTAAGATACGAAGTTTCACGGAGAATACCGAAGTTAAAACGTAAAGAAATAAATGTCATTGTGCAGCCCATCCAATTATTAAACAAGATGTATAAGTGAACCTGTTTAAGTTAGTAAGTAAAGCATCTTTTTCCCAAATTACCTCTTTTCTTCTGCATGCGCACTACGCATTAAAGACAAAAAATTCTATTATTATTTTTTTTAACAACATATATGATTTTTGTCCAAATCCTTTCAATTCCATCTATGCTGGAAAAAATAAGGCATTCCAAACCGGAACAAGGATGTTTTGAAGGTAAAACTCTTCTCTTTAAACTGGCACTACTTGCGTGGTCAATGAAATATGGTTGACGATGGTAAAATCAGTAACCTTTTTTCTCATGCATACGGTTTTTAGTAATTGCTCATGCAACGTTCAATTGTCACAACAAATACAGATGGTCTTCTGAGAGACGACTTGATCTTCATGGTTACTGTCTTTCTTTGACTCCAACAATTTTAACCTCTTTCAATCTGACCTTGACCTATCCTTTTCTTATTTTGCTTTGGAGGTCAATCTACCATTTATTATTGAATGATATGACCCTACTGGTGTAGGGTTTTAAAAATAAGTCTATAGACTCATTTATGTTCCTCTCCACGGAAATCTTTAGTAAAAGGCGAAAGATTTAATCGTGGATTGAAGAGAAACCAGAGTAATCGCAGCAGTGGAACATCCAAAATTTTATGCCATTCTCAGATATATTTCAGCTTGTTTGTAAGCATTACAATATCATAGATTTAAAACGACAATTTTGAATAGCAGGTTACAATTGCTTGTCTTTTTTCATAAGCAGTATATGCTATCTGTAGAAATGACAATTCTTGTTCACTTTATTTCATGGTCAGTTTGAATACTGTCCAAATATCTCCATTGTACAATTTATAATACCGGTTTTTTTGTCTTCTCAAAGGGAAACAACTTCACAATGATGACCATTTGAACCAAGACATTTCACTCGGTTTAGGAATTGGGCACGTGAAATTTCTTCTGGTGATTCAAGTGTAGGACAAAGTCATTGTGCAGCCCATCCAAGTATTAAACAAGATGTATAAGTGAATCTGTTTAAGTAAATAAGAAAAGCACCTTTTTCCCAAATTACCAATTTTCTTCTGCGTGCGCACTGCACATTAAAAGCTAAAATTTCTATGTATTTTTTTTAAACAACATATCTGATTTTTGTCCAAATCCTTTCAATTCCATCTATGCTAGAAAAAATAAGGCATTCCAAACAGGTACAAGGATTTTTTAAAGGTAAAACTCTTCTCTTTAAACTGGCACTACTTGCGTGGTCAATGAAATATGGTTGACGATAGTAAAATCAGTAACCTTTCTTCTCATGCATACGGTTCTTAGCAATTGCTCATGCAACGTTCAATTGTCACAACAAATACAGATGGTCTTCTGAGAGACGACTTGATCTTCATGGTGACTGTTTTTCTTTGACTCCAGCAATTTTAACCTCTATCAATCTGACCTTAACCTATCCTTTTCTTATTTTGCTTTGGAGGTCAATCTACCATTTATTATTGAATGATATGACCCTACTGGTGTAGGGTTTTAAAAATAAGTCTATAGACTCATTTATGTTCCTCTCCACGGAAATCTTTAGTAAAAGGCGAAAGATTAAATCGTGGATTGAAGAGAAACCAGAGTAATCGCAGCAGTGGAACATCCAAAATTTTATGCCATTCTCAGATATATTTCAGCTTGTTTGTAAGCATTACAATATCATAGATTTAAAACGACAATTTTGAATAGCAGCTTACAATTGCTTGTCTTTTATCATAAGCAGTATATGCTATCTATAGAAATGACAATTCTTGTTCACTTTATTTCATGGTCAGTTTGAATACTGTCCAAATATCTCCATTGTACAATTTCTACTGCCGGTGTCTTCTCAAACGGAAACAAATTCACAATGATAACCATACCAAGACATTTCAGTCGATAGAGGAAATTGCGCACGAGAAATTTCTTCTAGTGACTCAAGTGTATGACAAATCATTGTGCAGCCCATCCAATTATTAAACAAGATGTATAAGTGAACCTGTTTAAGTAAGTAAGTAAAGCACTTTTTTCCCAAATTACCTCTTTTCTTCTGCGTGCGCACTACGCATTAAAGGCAAAAATTTCTATGTATTATTTTTTTTAACAACATATATGATTTTTGTCCAAATCCTTTCAATTCCATCTATGCTAGAAACGATAAGGCATTCCAAACCGGTACAAGGATTTTTTGAAGGTAAAACGCTTCTCTTTAAACTTGCAGTATTTGCGTGGTCAATGAAATATGGTTGACAATGGTTCTTTTCTCATGCACACGGTTTTTCGCAATTGCTCATGCAACAGGCAATACTGTCACAACAAATACAGATGGTCTTTTGAGAGACTTGATCTTTCTTGCGACCTTGAACTCGATCGATTTATCTTTTTCATGCCCTGTATATACTTTCAATATCCTGATAGCCCCCCCCTCCCCACCCCTCTAAACGTTTTGTTTTGGGTGACTGTCTTTCTTTGACTCCAGCAATTTTAACCTCTTTCAATCTGACCTTGACCTATCCTATTCTTATTTTGCCTTCAAGGTCAATCTACCATTTATTTTTGAATGATATGACCCTACTGGTGTAGAGTTTTAAAAATAAGTCTATAGACTCATTTATGTTCCTCTCCACGGAAATCTTTAGTAAAAGGCGAAAGATTTAATCGTGGATTGAAGAGAAACCAGAGTAATCGCAGCAGTAGAACTTCCAACATTTTATGCCATTCTCAGATATATTTCAGCTTGTTTTTAAGTATTACCATATCATAGATTTAAAACGACAGTTTTGAATAGCAGGTTGTAATTTAAAAAAAAGGATTTTTGTTATTTTTCTCATTATTTTAAATATCGAATATATTATATATATTCATTATTATTGATAACATAGATAGTTCCTTTTCGAATTTTTCTCATAGTTGGATATACGGAAAAAAGTTGTTTGGTCTGTAATTGTTTTCCTAATAATATATTTATCATTTTAATTATATATATTTAGAATAAACAATTTCTAAAAGAGGCAACTTTTTCAAAAACAACTCGAAGGAAGAATATCAGCAGTCTCGCTTTATGTCATCATTTCGTAACTTATATTATTATATGGTTAATACAATATGACCTTGTCAGCAAATACAATTTATCATTAAGTCAAATGCTGACTGACTTTTTTCATACCGATTGTAAGCTAGGCCATTGTTTACACGGAGTGTCCACGAATCCCCCCCTTCCCGAACATGACAAGGAGCACACGGCGTGTGACCGGTCGACAGGGGATGCTCACTCCTTCATGGCAACTGAATGATCTGATCCCATGCACCTCTGATGTTTTGGAGGTCGGTGTTTACTCTGCTATTTTGTATTGTTAATGGACTTTTGAGCTCGAATATTGTTCGGTATCTCCACAAAACTGTCGACATTGCCTGGCGCCGCTCTCATTTGCATTATACTGTTTAAGATTAGCGTACTCTTCACCAAACAAAATTCCATATTTTTGTATAAATATGGTAATTATTTAGGCAATTGTTCCTGGATTAGGAACCCCCCCCCCCCTAATTATTCATGAACCCATCGACGGTCTTGCTTCAGTTAATCTGCATGGGCAACTTTAAGGCATAGATTAAGTATGTGTGCAATGAAAATTAAAGAGGAAAAAAAAGATTAAGTCCACCTGCACAAATTGATTTGACACATTAAAATAGTTTGAACACGGGGGTGCAAATACTGTATACAGGGAAATTTTCGCCCTTTCGCCCTACCTCTTTTTGGGCGAATTTAGAACGGGCCAAATTCAAAAAATACAATCAAGTTTCTTAAACAAAACTATGAATGGGCGAATTTAAAACGGGCCGGGATAAATCGTCTACCGTTTGAAAGGTCGAAAAAACACGTGGCGAAAATAACCCTGTATACAGTAGATAGGACCTCCAATATCCAATCATTATTTATTAACAGTTGACAAAAGGCGATATCCTCTACTTTGAGACAAACACGGATTTTTCAGGTAATCAATTCTTAATCGCATCTTTTTAGTACGAAGATTATGACTAGCTATAGATTCATTTTATATTTTCCACAGTATTGAAAAGCAAATATCAAGGATTCCTTTCTTTAATTTCGTGCGAAATGATTTAGAACTTAACTTTCCAGATGACAATGAAAAGTCCAAATACATCCAAAAAACACACAATTTGTCTTATCACATGTTATCTACATAAAATACACAACAGAATATATAAATGTCAAAAAGTTCACGGTACAAACCGTTAACATCCGTCACCAGCTACTTCCGGTCCAGGTTTCCAGTCGATTTTGTCCTCCTTCCTCTTCTATAGAATTACGTTACCTGATTAGTTCTGATTTAACACACAACAGACATTTTTAGTCCATCATTTATAAAATATTGATAAATCTGGATCCAATTGATGTAACATTCATGCTCTCAGAAGTTGAAAATTCTTCTCATTCATTTTTTTCCCTTTAGCATTATTTTTTGCATGTTTATATTCCATCATTTGTTTTAATATTCTTGAACTAAAGTTTTGAAGATACTGCAATTGGTAATTGGTAATTGGGAAAAAGCAAAACTTAACAAAATTCTACAAAGCCATGGATAGATATTTGTTGTTTTTTTATTTTTCGTGGTTTGTAAATAACCACCATGTTAAGCACACATCATTTAAACACTTCCTTACAAAAACATGCTATATCTTCCTCTCCCACTTTCATAAAAACATTCAACATGGTAAAAAAATTCTCCACATCATATAAAAATTTTGTGAACAAGATAAAAATGAGGATATTTACATGTGGAAAACTCAACAATAGATTGTGGAATAATTCAATACAAACACTGTATATTTTGGTACTCTTCTCAGAAATTAATGTCATCTTAAATTAATACATTAGGAACTTAAAGAATATACTAAACATATATTCAGAATACAAAAAAGTGGACAAAATACTTTCCTCCACAATAAATTTATAACATGTTCTTAAATGGTTGTACATTCAATAGAGCATCTTCATTTTTATTGATCTGCATATTTTAATTTTCTATTTTAAGTCAGTTATAGATCAAACCATAATTTTTACATAAACTATAGGACTTCACAGAATTACTGTATGTGTTAATGAACTGCAAATGAACACTAGTATTCAGAATTCACACAATCACAAAGGAGATCAGATGTAACTTGTCTCACACTTGCTGCATAATGGACCAAACAAAACTCGGAGACCTAATTAACACTGACATCACTCAATCTCCCCCTCTTCTAAATCTCCTGCAACTTTTTCCTTTTTTTCTGTCACTGTGTCAGATTCAGGGGCTGAGGACGATTCCTCACCATTTGGAACACTTTTACTTGTCACTTCTGGTCCATTAACACTTACACTCTTAGAGACAGGTTCCACAGGTGCAATGGGTTCAACAGGTGCTACAGGTTCAACAGATGTTATGGTTTCAACAGGAGCTGCAGGTTCTGGTTCATTGCTTGGCCCTGCACCACCTGCACCTTCCTCAGGAGGAGGAATGCCAGCAGGTGATGGACCCGGCTCCTCTACTGGACCTTTGTCTGTATTTTCACTCTTGCCTCCGGGTGGGGGGATCACCACATTCTTCATCATCTCCTCCAGAGCACTCCCCCACCCAAGAGCTTCCTTTCTACTGTTGGATCTCTCCTCCTCCGTCCTTTGGTGCCATTCTCCTCTATCTTCTCTGTCCCTGTCCCTGTCCCGGTCTCTATCTCTGCCGCGATCCCGGTCCCTGAATCCATCATCTCTATTTCTATAACCGTCGTCTCTATCTCTGTAGCTGTCACCTCTATCTCTATTCCTTCTATCTCGGTCTCTATCATAGTCTCTATCTCTACCACCTCTATCATCACGATTTCTGTCTCGACGATCAAAGTCTCGCCGTCCTCCCCGACCACCAAAATCTCGTCCCCTGCCGCGCCCTCTCCCTCCCCTCCAGTCGTCTCGTCTGTAGTCCCTATAGTCACCGCTATCCCGATCATCGTCTCTGTCATCTCTCCAACGATCTCCTGAATTCCTGCGTTTATGATCACTTTCTTGGTCTTCTATAGGTTTGTCCATTTCATTTCCTTCCTCAACTCCAGGACCTTCAAATGGGGGCCTCATCATATCCCCTGGAGGTCCCCTAAATCCAGGCCTCATGAATTGCCCGGGGAATCGCTGAAATGGTCTGTTACCTCTGAATCCTGGTGGGCCACCTGGACCTCCAAATCCACCTCTCTGGGGGCCTCCCATCATGTTGGGGGAATTAAATCTATTTTGTCCCTCCGGAGGGCCTCGAGGCCCCATGTTTGGCCCTCCTGCATCCATAAGTGGTCGGGGTCCCCTCATTCCACCAGGGGGACCCATTCCTCCACTCATTAGTGGTCTCATCTGCCCCATCATTCCCATTCCTGGGCCCCCTGGGGGACCACCCTGACTGCTAAAAGGATCAGGGGGAGTAGCATCACTAAACCTCGATTTCTTTCCAGGTTTTGACTCGGGCTCCTCTAAGTCCATACTTTCACCAGCATCAAAGTCAGGTTTCTGCTGCCACTCTTGTCCAAGCATGGGGGGTTTATCTTTGGGTTCCTGACCTCCATCAAATGGAAGTCGGTTTGACCCTGGCATTGCAGGCTTCATAGGATCAAAGTTTGGCTGAGGAGGTCTCAGAAATCCCTGAGGGGGCATGGGAAACCTTTGAAATGTAGCTGTTGGAGGTAAACCTGGACGCTGAACAGCTAGCATTGGCTGGGTTCCCATGGTAGGCATATTCTGTGTAAATTGTATTCCAGTGGTAACTACTGAAGCAGGCTGCCGCACCTACAATGTTATAAATACAGATGTTCAAGTACTGCTCAGAGAAAATATACATGTACATGAAAATTTGATGTCTACAATTTCGTTTTCTTTTTAAAAAATATTTTCAAAAGCAGTTCATTCTCATTTTACGCATGTTTGAAAGCTTATGCAATTAAAAGTTGTTTTTATTTGTAATGTCTGTACAATAACTATTATGTTTGTTCAGTGTTATACTAACAACTTGAGGCATTCCTCCAGGTGGCATTCCAGCAGGAAGAGGGATCATCCCAGCTTGACCTGGGAGTGGGGGAATTCCTGTGCTAACTGACATGGGGGCTGATGGGACAGCAGGGGGCATTCCCGAGATCTGGGGTGGAGGCATACCTCCCTGCATGACCATCTGAGGCATCATGTTCATCCTTGGCAACATTCCCTGTGGCATAACTCCTACAAGATCAGATGAAGTTTTAATTTCAGTGCCGTTACAAGCTGCATGCAATAAAAGAATAAAGCTACTTACGATCCAAAAGTTTTTTTTTTCTAAAGTTGAATAGTGATACAATTTGCATATACACGACTAAATGTGGAGTGATACGGGAGTTATTGATAGCCAGTTTATCATAAAATTAATCTATGTATAATGAAAGTTTGTCAAGTTTACTCTCTTTTTAACAAAAACATATACAGTAAAACGTCTCTAAACCAGCCAGCTGCCGGACTGAATAAAATGGCCGGACTAGAGGGGTGGATGGTTTCCCGAGAATCTAACATACTGAAGAAATGCAGAACTTTGTGACAGATGCTAGGAAAAATATATAATTAGTGTTTGTTATAATTATTTGTCAACATGTTATTAATTATTGGAAGACACGTAATGTATTCTTAAGGTCCAAAAAAAAAGAAATTATTATTAGTGAGGATAAATTCGACATACTTGTTGATTTTAAAAAAAGAAATTAAAAAATAAGAACAGAAAAAACATGGAAAGTTACTTTAATAACCATATGCGAAGAAATAAACCAGACCCTTTACCTTAACTGAACTCTATACAGAATACTGCATGTGTATCTGTGTATCGCTTACGTCATTAAAAAAATTGTTTGTACTTCAGTTAAAAGTAAATAATAAAAACATTTCTGAGCAAAACTTCTGTTATTTCAATTATGAAATGTATATTTTGGTAAACATTTTATTTAAATTTTTTCTTAGCATTTTTTAACAGTGCCCAATTTTAAGGCCGCTTATGCGTATTTAAAAAGATGATGCAATATGGCTTGCGATAATTTGTTAATTCATTCTGTGATACAAATTTATTAGTTGCTTGATATTTTATTAATTCAAGTTAAATCGATGTTAATCATATGTACACAGCTTAGACCGGCCATTTACGTAGTCTGGCAAGATGACTACACCTACAAGACGGCTAAACAATAGAAAACCCTGGGAGTGGGAGGCCATATTCAGTTTTTCACACCTCTAACTTCTCGAGGGTAGGCTATTTTTCACACCTCCGGTCGGTCATTATTACCCCTCTGGCAAATGACAATTAAATTTCTTGCAATCAAAAAGTGGCCGGTATGATGAGGGGGAATTTCCTATGTTTCTTGACTTTTGTTCTTGGAAAAGTGGCCGGTGTCCGGTTTTCAGGGGTGGCCGGTTTTATGAGAGTTTATGTGTAAAGAAATGTTAAGAATTTTGCCAGGACTTATAAATTTGGCCGATGTTCAGGGAGAACCAGTTTCCAGGGGGGCCGGTTTGGAGAAGTTTTACTGTATTGCGAATTTTTTTAATCATGAAAACAATGTGGAGAATCATTTTTGTCCTTACCTGCAGAAGGCATAGGGGGTGGCATTGTTCCTGGTGGGGGTCCCCCAGGGGGCATGTTGACAGGCTGCAAGGGCGGGGCCTGGGTAGGGGGCATCTGGCTGTTCATTAAGGGCTGGGGAAGTGGGGGCTCCTCTAATGCATCAGGCTTCTCCCTCCCCAGGGTCAATCCTGTAATTACATTGAAAGTCACTTGCAAAATACCGTGAAATCACAAATTTTCACGGGGTTTAATTAACACCCTTCCCCGCAGTCACGCATTTTAAAGCATATACCATTTCCTATTTCTAACGCAAAATCACGCATTTACCGTTTCCCCGCAATCACGCATTTTCACGCACTTCAAGAAGTTCATTTAATCTTCAATTTATTGCCAAATTCCAACTATTTTATACTTGCTTGAATCCCATAAAATAAGAAAAGTTATTTTCTAATTAAAATATTATTTCAGAATATCATTTACGCTAACTTTAGAGAAATTTGTACCCCGCTATCAAGTGCTTGCGGGGAAATGGTAAAGTAATATTTCTATGACGCGAGGATTCAATATATGTTGCATAGCAATTCTGTAAGTTGTAAAGAGTTAAGAAATGAATTTCATTTTTGAAGATTCACAAGGATATGAACTATGACGCTTCTCCCAGGCATATTTCAACGCGCTTCATGATAAATATGCTGGTGTGAGGCCATTCAAATGTCATTTTTAAAGCAAAACAGTTTTGACGTCAAGTACTGTATTATGACGTAACAATGGAAATATTCATGTTCATCCATGGTAGTTCATGAGAAAATGAACAAAATTCTAATTTGTAAGGAATGTTAAAGACAAATAAGTGGAAATGTAAGTATTGTTCATTGTTTTTGAGGTAAGAAGAGACCCACAAATTCATGTCCACTGCTAAATGCAAAATGTTACATACATAATTACTCAATAATTCTTCATCCAGGAAATCAAATCCCCAAGATCCAAGATTTGTTCCTCAAACCATGAAAATTTGACCCCAAGAAAATGTGTGATTTTACAGTATAGCCTTGTAAACAAAAACAAAATTGTATGGCCGAATTTGAAAGTACAGTCAAATCTTGTTATCTCAAAACCAAGGGGAGCAAGAAAACACTTCTGAGATATTTGAGACATCCAAGGTAAAATACTTAAAGAATGAGGAGTTGAGACTTTCAAATCATTTTAACATATCCATGGTATTTGGGATTTCAGTATTTCAGAGACTGAAGTTCAACTGTTTCCAGCCTACCCTTCAGATTTTCTGGCAGGGAATCCTCATCAATGATTCCTCCGTCAATCAGACCGGACAGATCCTCCGGGAGGTCACTCCAGGGAATGTAGGTCGCCCCCATATCCACGTCCCACTTGTCCTTGAACATCGACTCTTTCACTCCTATACCTGGGGCCCAGGCAACCTAACAACGATACAAACATTTATCAAACCAAAATAAATTTTCCGTCAAGAAGCATTATTCTTATTCCAATTAAAACTGTAGCTCTGACTCGGCATAACACAAGTAAATTATTAATCAATCTTTGTCTCCTACCCTTAGTTCACTCCCATTCAATAGCAGGCCTTTCATTCTGTCCACAGCTTTGGAGGCTTCCTTGCGGCGAGTCATGCAAACAAATGCACACCCTCGAGGTGGAATCATCTAGATGAGGAAGAATTGATATAAATAAGATATACACACTATACTTTTGTGCAAGTTTGGTAAAGATTTCAGGGTACACTGCATAATATCCACAATTTTGCCGATGCTAGTTTTTTCCAAGACAATTTTTTGTACATATCTAATCCAATACACTTGCAATAAATATTTAATTGGATTAATCTAGGTTTTTGGGGAAACTACCCTTTCTGGAGAAATTGGGAAAATCAGTCGGGGTCTGGGATCCATTCAAGTGAGTGCAGGGCCTGCACTGCTTGGAAGCCAATTGAATTTCAGCACTTTTATGACCATTTAAAGTGCATAAAGTAGCACATTGAAATTATATTTCTTATATACTGAAAAATTTTATTCTAAATTTTCATTCTTTTTAAAGGAAAAAAAAATTGAGGTTTTTATTTTTGTAAGGGGAATATTTTACTCATCAAAAGGGGAAAATAAGACCTTCAGGGGAAATTTTCTCTGGGGGAAAAACACTGAATATCAGTAGTAAATAAGCCCTAGATTTATCATTTAAAAACATCTAATCAGATACCTACATTTATAGAATCCACACTTCCAAATTTCTCCAGTTCTGTCCGTAGTTCATCCTCTGAAGTGGTCTTGGAAATCTTCCCAATGAACAAAGTCGTTGAGCAAACTGAAAAATCAATTAAAGGTTTTATCATTTGTTGTACCTTTTATCAGTCATTGTTAATTACAATATTAATTAACAAAGATGAGTCTAACATACTTGACAAACACTGGTCCTTCATTTGTGGCAGGCCTTTTTTCCTCCTCTCCCTTTCCTTTTCCCGTTGTCTGTCCCTATCTCGATCTCTGGATCTATTTAGAAAAGTTCATTTTTTATTATTCACTTTCAAATTCAAAAATTCTTTGAAATTTTACTAAAACTAAAACTTGTAAAATTACTTGTACATTTACTTACCTGGACCTCCTATGTCTGTCTCTTGACCTTGACCTCCTTCTTCGATCTCTTGACCTTGACCTGGATCTTCTTCTTTTCTTTGGTGTCCTACAGTAAAACAATTACATTGAACAAGGTTAACTGGATGCAAAAAAAATTAGTTTGAACACGATTTTCTGGATTTTCAGTATTGACCTTGACCTCGATCGTTCAAGCCTTGACCTCCTGTGTCTCCTGTCCTCCCTGTCTCTGTCCCCCCGGCGGTCCCTCTGATCCTCCTCCTCCTCTGGCGGGGGTCCGGGGGGGAGGTGGGGCCTCTCATCGATGTCCTGTGGGGGAAAGATCTGCTGGGGCTGCTCCGGAGGAACAACATGACCATATGCTGAGGGCATCTGATGTCCCATCTGGTGATGAAGAGGGTCATGCTGCATGTGCATTTGGGGAGGCATACCTCCCATCTACAACAGACAATGTGGAGTTCAATATTCCAGTGAAAAAGGAGAGCACCTGTAGAATTCTAACCACCATGAATTGTAAAACAAATACACTGTATGTTTGTTAAGTTCAATGGTTATTGAACTGAATCAGTATCAAAATGGTCCTTAATACACAAATACAAAGATGACAGAATTATTATCCACAGCAACTTTTATAATGTAATCAAGAGTTATCATTGTTAGAGAATTCCTGCTTACATGCCCGATCTGCTGATCAAACTCCGCTTGTTGCTGCTGCAGTATTTTCTGTCTGTTCAGTTCCTCGTTTTTCTGGATTGTCTGGGATAGTTGTTGGATTTGCTGCATCATGTGTGTCTCATTCAGCATATTGTGTGACGGTTGGCTAAAAGCAGTGATAATTTATATGCATTTTGCACAAGGTGAAAACTTTTTGAGCTAGTTTTGATTTGTAAAAACAAATCATTCAAAATAAAAATCTCGCAAAAGTTGAACTACTCTTAACCTGTTCTTCTTTTTTAAACAAGTGAAACCTTTAAAGCATGGACCTACCTATGCTGACCTGAATCTTCCTCATCACTCTCTCCATAATCAAAGTCCAACAGTTTCTACAGAGAAGGAAAGCTGGCTTAATTTACAAAGTTTCTAATTTTACAATGTATATGAATCTGTGAATCTCTCTGTAAATTTTCTAGAATAGGAAAAACAACACATGAAAAGTCCCAAGGACCAACCTAGGGGGCGACTGAGGCGAAATAGTCGCTTTTGGGCTCCAAACTTCGCCGTACTTTATCTTGAAAGCGAAGTTTAAGTCGCCTTAACATTTGCAACCCCTTTATTAAAAATCTTTAAAAATCTATTAAGAAGCATGGTAGAATCGTCAGTAGTTGATAAATCTTGTTTTATTACTGCTGAAATAAACCAAACAGCAGGACACTTGCACCTGTTTCGCTGCTAATGACCAATGCATCGAATACTCTGTCGGAACTCCTCTAGATTTTACACTTCCGGGTATGAAAAAGTCCAATTGTTACAAGTTATGCACAACCAGACGCAAAACAGCTGGTCAGCTATCGATGTCATGCCAAAGATGTTGAAGATGGTTTCAGATCTTTTTATTGCCAAATAATTAATTCATGCTGTGAATACAGACATATTTTACTGTTACTTTGTGGAGTTATTCACTGTTTAAGAAATTACACGTCTGATATACCGAGTTCAATCAGCATGCAGTACGTAGTACATCAAAACTTTTTTTTTTAATCAATATTTTATTATGTTAGTGAAATTACATAATTGGACTGGACATCAGGCATGGCCTATATAAGTCCTCTCCAAAAATTTGGAAAAACTTTTTCAGAAAAAAAAAATGAAAACAAATTTGGAACAGAAAATAACAAAATTATGACTATGCAATGAGCATAAAAATTTAAAATGAAAAGATAGAATTTAAAGTTAACTGTGCATATTATGCAAGAAATGAATTTTTTTTTTTTTTTTTTGTTTTTTTTTTTTTTTTTTTTTGTTTTTGCTAGATGTACCTTGTACTTGAAAAAAAAGCAGATCTTTTTCTCTTTTTTTATATTATTTTTACTAGGATGTCAATATAGAAAAAAAGTATTGAAATGTATTTTAAGTTTTTAACAATGAAATATTTCCATTTCTAAAATTTTGAAATTGTAAAGATTTATAATGATCAGTGAGCACCGCGCGCGCAAAGAAGTCTCCCTAAATTTCAAAACTTCTCCCTAAATTTCTCTGAGGGAGAAGTGAAGTCTCCCTAAATTTTGGCTCTAGGTTGGTCCCTGAAGTCCATAATCAAGATACCAATGTCTTTGACAACTTGACAAGAACTAGGTGTACATTAATCTAGGGGGTGCATTAAACTATAACATCTATATTGTTTACCCTGTTGAACCCTGGTTCTGGGGGTTTATCCCCCGACTTGAGGAGCTGATTGGTGAGGGTCTGGATGTGAGACAGTAGGTTGCTATCTATAACAGGAGTCCCCTGAGTGGGCTGCTGCATCAGCTGCGTGTGTTGTATCAACTGTTGCTGTAAAAGTTGCAGCTGCTGTAACTGTTGTTGCTGGGCAGACAGACTTGTTGAACCCTGAGAGAGAAAATAATGCATATAATTCTGTGAAGAAAACAACATAAGGATTGCTTAAAATTACATTTACTGAAGAGTTCTTGTAACTTTTTAACCAAACCAGGGTCTGAATGACTTAACTGGGCAACAATGTTTGACACCCCTGTCTGAGCTGTGAATGCCTTACCTGTGATGTCTGTTGTAGTAGCTGGGTAACTGTGTTTAACATCTCTGTCTGAGCTGCCAGTGAATTCTCAGGATTCTCCTCTCCCTCCTCAGGAGGAAGTGAAGTATTCATTGATGTGTCCTGCCCTCCCTCGGCATGATGAGGCTTAGCTCCTGTAGCCATCACATTGTCTACTGCTCTCTGAGCTACAATACAAATTAATTATCAATTAATTGTCTACTGCTCTCTGAGCTACAGTACAAATTAATTATCAATTGATTGTCTACTGCTCTCTGGGCTAAAAAACAAATTAATTATCAACCACAGTTCATCAACAAATCTATGTTTTTTTCCAATTTCAAAGCTTGAAAGAACTTTATTCGGTAATAACCAATATTTGCCCCGCAAATCAAACTTTGATGGAGATATATTTAATTAAGTTCTTAAACAGGGGAGTATATGCTGACTTCAAAGTACTGAATATTTTCATAAGTAATGACTCTCACAACTTTACTCTGTGTTAAAGAGAATCACAAAATAACATAAATTTCAGAGTTTTTTTGAATTTTACATAAAAAGGTACATATCTTCGTCGATTTTTTGGAATATCAGAGAAAAAGTGTGTTCATTTAACAATACTTTGATATAATGTGTATACATGTATCTTTATAAATGAAATCATTTGATATAATTACCCGTTCCTCAAACTTGGACATTTAAACAGATTCTGAAAAGTTGCCAAAATTGTTGAAATTTAGTCCATTTTGTCCTCTTTCTGGGAGGATATAAAATCAAATACATCTTGTGAATACACTGCTTTGACACAAATATTTTCTGTTAATTTATATTTCTCATACAATTTATTGACTGCACATTTCAGGAACAAAATTTGAATCAATTACATACAGCCCTGTGAATATAGTGTACTTTTTACACTGAAATGAACACATAAAAATATCAATATTCTTTCTTCTGTACGCTATTGCTATTTTCTTTGCATAGGCGTCGGAAGCAGATAAAGGCTGGATGACTTCACTCATTGGGGACTAAACCATTCTTTTGCCCCAATTTTCAATGCCTTTACTATGTCTATCTTTGCAAAAAAGTGAGGAGGGGCTAAGCCCCCCCCCCCATACATGTCCAAGAACGAATTTGATGTCCATATCTACAATATTATGTATTATATTATATTATACAATATTATGACTTCTTAAAAGAAAGTATTCAATGTAATAAAGACACAAAGATGGAGAAATATTAAAGTACACTATAAAAAAGTAATGTGTCGATATCGTAATTAATCGTGTCTTGGACATAACATACATGACCAAGAACGAATTCGATGTCGATATCGACAATATTATGTCGATATCGTATCGATATCGCTCATGATGAGCACTATTAATTTGAAATACTTGGTACCAGAAATGAGACTTTGTGCTATGTCGATGTCGTCGATATCGACAATACCGTGACGATATGACGATATTGTATCGATCCTATTTGTAGAATTTATTTTCACAATGAGGTATAACATAATTTTACAAGGTCACAAGTGATGTCAAATTCATTCATTATTAGCATGAATATGAAATTAAATTATGATAAGGAAAGGGTTAGTGGTTGTTATTGTTTTGGATTAGGTTTAGAGTATGATGTTGGGTGAGGGTGAAAGTTGTTAAATATGTTTTAACAATCATGATTCGATATCGACGGTAGGGTAAATTAATTAATCAGAAAGTAAATATGCACAAGCGTTGCATGAAGAAACAGAACTTATTGTCATGGGATATGTCAGTCTTCACAACAATTCTTTTTCAGCACATGCCCTTCAGGCATGTACACCAATCATTTCAACCTAGCCCATTGAAATTTGTACATGCCCAACTCTCAGATTCATTCATATAGCAGATATGAATTATTGTGCAACAAAAAATAAGGTTTTTATATTAACTATGAGGACAGTGTTTCTGTTTTTAAATATTCTCTCGATCTTAAGTATAGAGTTTTAAATCAACCATGGCCTACCTGTCTGCCATTTTCGTATGGGTTTTTGTTCACAACTTTTGACTCGCATGTTAATCGTTTGGCCGGTATAGCTGAACTGAATTTCAGAAATAGGATCGTCAGTGATCACAGCAGTCCACTGCACGTGGCGTCAATAAACATATCATAATTTAGCGAGAAATTTCGAGAAAACAAATAAGGTTAAATTAAACACTTTAATGATTACGATTGACAATCATTTGACAGGTCGTACTGAGAATGTAACGTAAGACGAATGAAGACTGGCAATATTCATCTTAAGACATTACATCTAAACAAGTTTAAACGAATAACTAAGGGTACAACCGAAGAAATTGCACATCGTGAATCGAAAGAAAATTCGCACATGCCCAGAAGGGCATATAATTTGAGAATTTTCACATGCCTGTTGGCAAATTTACCAGGTCCCAGGCATAGGGCACCCAGGTTATTTCGAAGACTGATATGTTAAAAATAAATATTGTTGTCAGTCTATGCGAAAGTTTAAAATTTTTACAGGACAAAATGTCTGGTAAAAATAAAATTTTTACCAGACCATGCAATTTCTTACCAGACCGATTTTTTCCCCCTATAAATCCATATTTTATGATACTGAGATTGAGAGGGTGGGTGGGATGGGGTTAATTCTCACTGTGAAATTTAACCTTCAATAAATTCAGACTGAAATGGACAAGTTAACTATTTATAATTTTCCTTTGTAAAAGATATCTACTTGTACAATTGCATGCTTTATTCTTCATATTTGACTTATACAACATACAATGTATAAAATATTTTCTGAAATTTAATATGCATTTCAATGCATATTTATTTTTCCTACAACAACTCACTGTGGTTACTCAAGTTTAATGATCGTTGAAAAATAATTTCCCAACCAAATCTACGTATGAGCTTTCTAAATATTTTCCCAATCAAATCTACGTATGAGCTATTGGATTTAATCCTTATATTCAAAACGATCACCAGGGTTGTAATACATAAAAATTAATCAGGTATTACTGCTAAATTGGTCAAATAAAGGACATTTGTGGGGAATTGGACCATGTGTACCTTTTTATTTAGTTGTATTTGGCCTTATTTTTTATCGGACATTTGGTCCTGTATACTTAAATTTTTTACCGACCCGACCTAAATTTTACTGGTAAAAACCGACGGTCGGGTGACTTTCGCATAGACTGTGTTGTATTAGGGTGAAGGTTGGTGAAGTAATATATTTTAACAATTGTAATGTGTCGATATCATAACTATATCGTGTCTTGGACATAACCCCCCTCCCCCTTAGCATCCCGGTTCAGATGCCTATGCTTTGCACTTTCCTTCGCAATTGATAAATACATTCAGACCAAATTAAATTGCATACTGAATACCTTAAGTATAAATTTTTCGACACTTTGTACCACATGCTTGTAGAATTTGATGGCTTTAATCGCACATTTGGTAACGTTGGCCATCTTTGCTCGAGATATTGGTGGTCTAGTCTCGTACAATGAGGACAACTGCAAAATATAAATGACAGCATTAAACATAAACATTACGACAACATCAGAGTTTCAAAAGATAAGTATTTTATTGTTTTCAAATTTCCAGTTGCTTTTTATTAAGTGGTAAAACTATAGTACAATTTTCATCGATAAGACTATGTAATTAGATTGACTGCATAAACTGTAGATTTAACTTGCAAAAAGCATGTTTTTCCTCTGATGCATATACAGTCAGAGAATGGGTTTGTGGAGAAAGAATAAAAGGTGTTATTATAACTAAACAGTCAAGGGTCATATACCGGCGTGCTTCACTGAAGAACGGTAACTCAATAGAAAAGTAAATAGGCAACTGGAAACTCTACATGGAAACAAACCTCATTGTTGAACGCTCTTACAGCCTCCATTACTGTTGGATATTGTTTCTGCCTTGGTTATAGATCTAAAAACATTTTTGCAATGAACTATCGAAGGTGTTTTGTCACACCAAAGTGTGGCGTGCTATTTCCAAGATGGCGGTAAATCGCTGATGATTTCAAGGAATGAATATCACGCGATGTTTGATTGGCTGTTGTCATACACATCATCCAATGAAGACATTCGTACTTCGGGATTCGGTTTAGACTTTCACACCATGTTAACTTCCGGTTGGTAGTAACAATTTTCTGTTAATTAAAAAAAATGAATTAATGTTTTTGTAGAACAGAAACATCACGTTATCTGCACAAAATACACAAACTGCAAACAAGCACGTTATTTTGACTCAGATTTATGTTCAATAAGCAAAAAAGGGAAGAAATCCCCTCTGTAAATGCTCTGGGCCATGTTATGTTTCATGTATCTGTGCTTTGTACCCAATACACACTGCAACATTTTAAACGATAATTTTCCCTGGACTACAATTTTTTTCCAGAAAATAACAGGCATTAAACTGAAGAATTAAATTTACGTTCTTCTAACCCGTCCATTAGTTATTCAATTTTTCACAATATACACACTGCAACAATTAAATCCACAGGTGTGCAAAAGTCAATGTATCAGGTCTCAATAGCTCACTAGGTCTACAATTTTTTTTCCCTGAGAAACTAAATTGAAATCCGGCATTAAACTGAAGAATTCAATTTACGAATTTTACAGTAAAATGATGTTACTTATAACCCGTTTTGGTTAAAGCGCCCCTTATAAGTTATTCAGTTTTTCACAAGAAAATCAAGGTCATCAGGACACCAAAGATTAAGATACTTAGGTAGAAAAAATTAAAGTATGTGTGTCATGGGGTCCACAGGTGTGCAAAAGTCAATGTATCAGATCTCAATAGCTCAGAGGTTAGAGTGCTGGCACGTTACATCAGAGGCCCTGGATTAATAGAATCCCTGAGTTAAGACTATATTTTAATTTTAGCCAACTTTGACTCAATGTTGGCCGGTGCCAAATGTCACAGGCAGTGAAAATCAGGTATCACAGTCAAGGACCACTGGCATACTGTGCCAGCCTCTAACCACTGAGATAAATTTTGATTGACATAAACTTGGACTTTCACTTGCATGTATATTAGTGACCTGTGATTCCATTGTGACATTTGGAAATATAGCAGTCTAATATGCAAAAATTATTTGATCACACTGCTATATAGACTTTTACAATCTAGAGGAAGACATAGTCTGTTAACCAAATTAGTTTTAATGCCATTTTAGAACACATGCATAACTTAATTTTATGCCATGCCATCACATCAATTAAATTCTATACAATTGCATGTACTACAATTCTGTGGTGACAGATATATGTAGCTGAGAGAGTCCCAGAAAGCAACAGAAGAACAATAGTTGAAAAGTTATCATTTACTCAAATACTGTAGGGTCAGCACTTGCTGTAGCTTCAACATTAAATTGTGTTCTCATTAAGCGACGAAAGGAAGCCTTTTATTGTTTAAATTACATATTATATTGAGTTAATGACATTTCCAGTGCTTAACATTAGCTACCTTTAGAGAGAGCAAGGAGACCCGTAAACACTACATGGCAATGCATATGTATAATACATGAAGATGTAAATTGATTAATTTTAGCCAAAGTAATGAATTGTTCACTGAATAAATTTTTGAATATTCTATATGACATAATTTTTTTTTTCAATTCTTTAAGGTGTAGGATAGGTTGCATCCATCAACATTTGTTAGATCTTGAGCTTCCACACTAGCTGTGATTTTTTGACACCCTGGACCATCACAGGTACAGCTGCACCCGATACACCTGTTTCATCCAATAATAATCAGTCATTCTAACAAAAGAGTATTGTAAGATTTTATGATTGATTTCAGTGTTCTTCTCTTTTAATACACTAGTTAAGCCATATTGTTTTAGTTTTATTTTTTAATCTATTTCATTGAAACTTTTTAAATCTATAAGTAACATACATTGTATAACTATAAGTATAATTTTAAAATTTCTATTTTAATATGAATTAATGATACATGTCATTGTCTAAATAGTAATTAATCGTTTATTAAATTCCTAAAATATTTAGCATTATTGTTCACATGTAATTTCATACTTGCAGACAAAAGATTTAAAAGCATACAAATTAAATGATATAAATAGAGTGTACCAACTAAAATGGCAGTCAACAAATATCTTTTTTTTTCTTTTTAGGTTTTAAAGGAAAGGCAACATTTTCAAATCATGGTGGACTAGCGAGAGATATGAAAGTTTTGGGTCAAAGGTTATCAATCTTCAAATTTTCCTTGCTTGTCTTCGCTCTCTTCATTGTTACATCATTTCTATTTATATACTACCTGGATTCGCATTGGAGACAGCCTAAAATTAATTTCAAAGACAATGCAGAGAGTTCCAATCCAGAAAAAAATCAGCAGGAGAAGAGGCAGATTATTGTAAATCAGATTCCCCCATTTATAAAGGCCAAACAACAGCTATTTGAAATGGCACTAGACCATGCTCAACGAGAGGAGGAAGCCTTGAATAATATAAAGCCCCAGACGACCTCTAAACCTCGGCCTTATATCAACTACAACGTACACATCTTCTATTACCCGTGGTACGGAAATCCTGAACATGATGGAAAGTATTATCATTGGAACCACCCTTATCTCCCCCACTGGGAGAAAGTAGAGGCGGCTAAATGGCCCTCAGGGACACATGTGCCCCCCGATGACATTGGAGCTAACTACTACCCTGAGCTGGGCCCCTACAGCTCTAGTGATCCAGTGGTGGTAGAAGACCACATAAAGCAGATTCAGCTGTCAGGAGCAGGTCAGGTTAACACAGCAGTTTACTCTTAGTCAATTTGAAAATTTTATAATTTGTTTCCTTATACATGTTTTCTAATAAAATGTACAATATCCATAAAAGGAAATGAAATTGCATTTGTTTATACCATATTTATTAAGCAAAGGTTGTGAATATTGTAATAAATTGCTAATTATTATGATCAATATAAGATTTCAATTTTGTAAATTAAGATGTTTGCGCAGGCACTGGACTTTTTGTTAACACTGGAATAAAAAATAAATTCATAAGCAAAACTCCTTAACCATGCCATGATGGATTGTGAAATTTAAAGAATGTGATGCTTGCCTGTAGGAGTTTTGGTTGTATCCTGGTATCCACCAAATGATGCCGACAACGAAGGAAAACAGCCAGACAAACTGATGCCTCTTATCCTTGATATGGCGGACAAGTATCAGTTAAAGGTAGGTTACTCTTTTGGAGAACCATAAAAAAAGGAAACAGCCAGACAAACTGACACCTATTATCCTGGACATGGCGGACAAATATCAGTTAAAGGTAGGTAACTCTTTTGGAGAACAAAACAATCAGACAAACTGACACCTCTTATCCTAGATATGGTGGACAAATATCAGTTAAAGGTAGGTAACTCTTTTGTAGAACAAAACAACCAGACAAACTGACACCTCTTATCCTGGATATGGTGGACAAATATTAACTCTTATAAAGAACAAGTTAAAAAGTAAAAATCATGTCATCTTGAGTTGGCTGACAAAAATGAATAAATTTTCTCGAAGTGTCTATCTTTGTTATGGTTAAAAAAGATCATGAACTGCATCAGCTTTTTTAAGTTACTTAATCCTGATTTAGCTAACAAGTAACAAACTCTCTTTCCATTAACATTGCAAGTTTAATGAAGTAGAATAAAGTCAAGTTGAGTCTGTTCATGTATTCCATCAGTGGTTAGCATGATTTTTTGAAACTCCTTCTCTTTGAATAGGTAGCATTCCACATAGAGCCCTTTAAAGGCAGAGACCACAAAACCCTGAAAAATAACATCAAATACATTGTGGACACCTATGGAAAACACCCAGCCTTCTACAGATACTACGACAGACAGAAAAAGAAACTGTTACCTGTGTACTATATTTACGATTCTTACCTTGTCAAGTCCTCGGACTGGGCAGAGCTCTTCACTTCTAGTGGATCTATATCCATCAGAAACACGGAGTATGATGGGGTGTTCCTAGGCCTCCTCGTGGAGAGACAGCACAAGGAGAGCGTGGCTAATGCCGGGTTTGACGGTTACTACACTTACTTTGCTACGGACGGATTTACTTATGGCAGTTCCTGGAAACACTGGAGGGAGATCAGGAAGTATGCGAGGGGGAGGAAAATGCTGTTTGTCCCGAGTGTAGGGCCGGGGTACATAGACACTAGGGTACGTCCGTGGAATGGAAAGAATACACGATCTCGTCAGGATGGACAGTATTATAGACTCGCTCTACAGAGTGCGTTAGACATTAACCCTTCCCTGGTATCCATTACGTCTTTCAATGAGTGGCATGAGGGGACACAAATAGAAACGGCTGTCCCTAAAGCCACTAAAAACTTCACTTACTTAGATTATGGATCTGAGGGACCTCAGTTTTATCTCAACCTTACAAGACAATATTTATCGAAATTTAAAACAGAAGATTTAACCTAAGTATATTTGTCATTCAATAGCATTTTTAGGTACTTTCTTCGTATATAATTTATTTAATTTGTTGTTAAATTGTGTATTTTTCAGTAATTTAATTCAAATAGATATATTTTTTATAGTTATGATAAAGTGCCAAGTAATTTATTCTCTACATTGTGTTTGACAAAACCAACAATCATCAGCTTTGTTCATTAATTGATATAGGTTTCTGGTTTACATGGTCAATAAAAACTAAGTCAACTCAGCTTTTTGGTATATTAACTTTACAAGTCAGTTAATTGACCGAATGTTCAGTACATTTAAGGAATGACTCTAATTCTTGGCCAAATTATTCGATGATAACCTGGTTTGGGTCAGTTTACGCTTTTTTATAATCCGCGAATTAGAGTCATTCCCTATAATTTAATTTTAAAATAATTAAACAACTGTGGGTGTAAAATTGTGTTGCTTTTTATGAGTTCAAATTTGCCGCTCAATAATACATCCCTAGTAACGGAAGTGATATGAAACAAGGGGAGGTAATAACTGATATACAGATCTAGCAGCCATGATGTTTGTGTACACGAGGTAAGATCGAGCTACTGTTTGAAGTTAAAGGTACATTTATTAAATCTGGAATTTCCCATGAATTCCAAGGACTGGAAATGAGGGGATTGTATGGATACAGCTGATCCAGCTGGTTGTCAAGGGGGTGTGTCCCTATATCAAACCAGGTTATTATGAAATAATTAGCATTCCTTTTTGGTAATCAACCATTGAGAGACTAGAATACAAACAAAATTAAATTATAATGTTTTCACCAAATTACATGTAAACCCCCTCCCTTTCAATTACCACTTATTTACAGTAATTATTTGTTCTCATTGAATGCATTTAAGTGTGTGCTTTTTATGCCCCCGTATTTGAAGAATCTGGGGTGTAACTGAATAGTTTTTATGTCTGTCTGTTTGTCTGCAAAAACTTTAATTAACCTTGCCCATAACATTTGAGGAGAGAAGCTATAAATATATGGCTTGATTATTTTACAGGTGTATACCTCATGACAACACCTTTCTTTCAGTAACAACAAATTTGACCTTCTGACCTTGACCTTGGAGATTGACCCACAAACAGTTGGTGCTAGGGCTTTCATACTTCACATGTACAGTATATTTAACTGGAGAGGAGAAAAATGCAGCAAGCCAGATACATGTAGGGATTCGAACCCAGGCCCTGTGAATCTCAGGTCAGGTGCTCTACCGATTAAGCTATCTGGCCACCAGTATAATCAAATCTGGCTGACTGCCACATTCCTTCCTTCTTAAAGATCTTTGACCCGTCAAAGACCCTAACCCAGGCTCATCCCTGGCAGGTCTCTCACCTGTACATTCCAGGGCTGCGCATGACACGGCACCAAATGTAACAGGAGAGGAGAAATATTTAGTGGATCAGATCAGGATTCGAACCATGCATGGCCCTCTGAATCTCCAGTCAGGTGTTCTACCGAGATATCCCGCCATCGTCAATCGAATCCGGCTGACTGCCACATGTATATACATCGTTCATTTTGACAGGATCTTTCAATGGGTAAAAATATTTTTTATCTTATGACCTTGATCTTAGAGTGTGACCTACTTTTTAAAAATCTTTAGTCTCGCACATAACATTTGAACAATTAATTTTAGGATCGACTTTCAGATCTCACAGGTATATTCCTTGTGACTAGACCTTCCTCATTCTCCTACTTTGGATACCATAAATTTTGACCTTGACCTTGTTTAGAGTTTGACTTGCATTTGATAAACTTCAACCATCGTTATAAGCTGTAATACAGGGGCATCAGTGTTTTATAAACACTTTTTTTTCTAGATTTGTTGGGAAAAAAAGACCTTCCAATCCCTCACCCATTTCGAATCTCGCTTGTGTCTTGTGAAATTTACATCACAATTACAGGTAGGCTCTATAACATATAATATTCAACAGGAGTGATTGAGACATACTGTTTCTTTGGGTTTTTTTGCTGGCAGTGTAGAAGGTGTAAATGGGAGCGAGATGGGAGTGAAGAAGGTGTGAATGGCAGCGAAGAAATGACGTACAACCTACTAAAAAATATAATCGATTAGAATTATTTGAAGTACAAGTTAATCGATCAAAAGTTTTGGTCATTTGTGAGTTTGTAATTAAGAAAATGATATAGGACATCATAAGAGACGTATTGACATTGATGACTAAATTTTTAGAAACAATGAATGCAAGGGAGACAGAATTAATTAACAGACTTGAACATGTCAAAGACATTAGGTGAGCATGACATTTAAAAGTTTTAGGAAATATTCTTGTAGCATGCATGTGTACCATTTAAGCTACCTGTTTTAATCGTTGAAGCGTAAATAAAACAGGTTTAGACTTGGAGTGTTTTGTTTTGTTCAAATTGTTGATACAAATAGCTAAAGACTACATTTCTCTTTGCACTTATCTGTTCTTTTAGTAATTGTTCATTAAAAGATTTATGTAGATGAAAAGTTTAACATGGTTAAGTTCAACACACGTACCAGACAAAGTTAATATGTTGAGCACAAACATATTAATTTGTTTTGTAGACAGGGCACACCAAACTTTTTTTCTTTCCACAAGCAGCTAACAATGCAAGGTGACTTTAACTCAATTTTAGACCCCACCCCCCAGTTCAAGATAGCATTTTAACTACTCCAGCATGCTAGAGGTTCACGGCGAGATACTTTTGACTTGGCGCCGCGTAACCTCTAGCATCCATTGTAAAAATTCTCGCCGCTGAAACCCCAAGTGGAAAAAAATGTTTTATTAAGAAATAAGTCTTTGTATATTTACGAATGGTACGAAATAATAAAATACTCAATATTTACGATAAAACTTACGCATAAAACACTGTTAACCTCTCGTATTAGCAATAAATCCATTATTTTTCAAATCGAAGCAGAAATTGAAACGAGTCGTCTGTTCAAAATTCGGAAATGGAATACAGAAAATCTGACGAAACGAAACTAGTGTAATGCAACGAAAATTTCGTTTTCTGACGAGCAATCCTCAAAATTAATGTGAATTAAGTCAAATCGAAAGTACTTCTGGTGACAAATTGGAATATTGACAATTTCCATTAATTAACAATAATGCACAATGAATAAAATGGATTTTATTATTTCTTGCGACTTTCATACCCCATGCTAACACGTAGGTACCTGAAAATTACTTGTTAACAGTTTATTTCACGCATAATACGTTCCGCCCAAAATCTCAGGCGGAACGAGCTCGTCCTTCGGATGTAAGAGTCCGAGGTATATAAGGAGCGTAGGGACGTTAACCGAGGCTCTTACTTGTAGGAGTAGCATTTTAACATGTTGACAGTATGGCCGTTATTGCATGTGCAGATACTTATTCAGTTTAAATTTAGATCACGCTCGTCAAATTGCACTCACATGACATTTGGTGCATCTAGAATCTGATGTCACTTGAAGTCAATGATGTGTATGTTGTATTCTAAGCAGTGCAAATTGAAAATTAAAAACATTTAATCTACTATTTATCTGCTATATACCCATTGAAATCAAGGCAAGTTTACTTTTTCTTGTAACGGCTTGCTACCGTGACTAGTTTGCGACTACATGCATTCCCTAAGGATTATGGAACCACAGGTAAATGCAGAAAAAAATTGTTTGGATCAATGTGCAGAAAACAAATGTTCTCTCTGCCCATGTGTCAATGTTAGCTCACCTGAGCCGAAGGCTTAAGTGAGCTTTTCTGATCACATTTTGTCTGTCATCCGTCCGTCTGTCAGTCAGTCTGTAAACTTTTCACATTTTTGTCTTCTTCTCAAGAATTACAGGGCCGATTTTGACCAATCTTGGTACAAAGTATCCTTGGGTGGAGGGGAATTTAAATTATAAAAATGAAGGGCCAAGTCCCCTCACAAGGGGATATAATCAAGAAAATACAAAAATAGGGTGGGGTCATTAGAAAATCTTCTTCTCAAGATCCACTGGGCCAGAAAAGCTGAAACTTAATGTGGAAGCATCCTGGGGTAGTGTAGATTTTAAAATATTCAAATTATGACCCCTGGGGATAGGGTGGGCCACAATAGGGAATCAAAGTTTTACATAGGAATATATAGGAAAAATCTTCTTCTAAAGAACCTCTGGGCCAGAAAAGATGAAACTTATGTGGAAGCATCCTGAGGTAGTATAGATTCTAAATTGTCCAAATTATGACCCATGGGGTAGGGTTGGGTCACAATAGGTATTACAAGGGGCAAATCTGGTAAAGAACAGCATGGTCAAAGCTTCTCAGGTGAGCAATGTTGTCTATGGTCCTCTTGTTTTAAGAGCTGCGCTGCTATTAGATAAAGTATAGTAATCCAGATTTTCTCAGCACCCAAACATTGACCTGAGTCCTTGCAGTGCTCGTCTCACTTACTTTTAGAACATTAAGAATAATTCATTGGGCTCTCTTTCTTTGAAAAAAGAGAGGGAGATTTTTGAGTTATATCATTGTTTCTCCTAGACATGCTAGAGTGTTACATGTACATGTACTGTATGTGTGCTAATGCTGTCATATACCAAATTAAGTGATGGATTCTAAAATACACTTTCCATTGTAGAGGTTAAGAGACATTGTCAGGTCCAGCCCACAGAATAATTTTACCTTATTCTAGCAGTTTAGAATTTACTTACTTGCTTTGTTGAACACATTAATTTTGTTTCATTAGACAATTTACATGCACATTTATCAATTCAGATCAAAGACATTGCACTTGGAAAAAGTTCGAGGCAAGCTTCGCCAAGAATTTGAAAACACAGAGAATGAAGAAAAAAGACTAGAAGAATACAAACAAGAAATGGAGTTGCTTCTTCAAGAAAAAATGGCGCATGTTGAGGAGCTACGACTCATTCATGCTGATATTAATTTGGTTAGTATACCTGATTCCTCAACGTCAAACTGGACTCTACTGGTATATGGTGTATATACTTGTACATTGTATATACAGATGGTCTTTAACCCCTTCCATGGCAAAGATTTTAAGCATTTTTAGACTTTATATTAAGATTTCAATGCATTTTTGGGGGTATTTCTGGTAATTTTTGTATATACCAATGTATATATATTCTGAAACCAGGTATTGTGTTGTTTCTGAAAATCATTATAAAAATTTCATTTCTGTTGCCATGGCAACGAAATACACCATAATCATGCTAGAATTTCCATTTATTAAACAATGATTTTCATTCTTGTTTTTTGCATAGTTAAATATATAAAAAAAAATATTGTATTGTTGTGGACATTGAAAATTATGAACATGTTGTACATTTTTTACAAACCAATTTTAAGTATTTTTTTTTTGGGGGGGGGGGGATGGGTAGGATTGGGATGTAAACATGTACCAGAATTTAGCATTTTTACATATAATGTGTTACCCCCACATTGATTTCGAGAATGGCAAAAATGCTCAAATAGTGATCAAAGTTTTACTCAAACTGGCAAAAAACTGGTACAGCCAATTAAGATATTTTCTGTATATTATTTTTGCGTATTTATTTTCTCTTTCCAACGGTGCAAGATTTACTCTGATATGTCTATTATTAACAACGTTATGAATGTTTTTTCACACTTTACTTGTTCTTCAAGTCAGAGGCGTAGAAATGCGTATATGCCATGTAAGGGGTTAATATTGACCTCCAAGTTAATAGATGGTTATTTTAATTACCAGGGATATGTCCTTGTGAGTTTTGAACTATATTATGAAAACAAGTAATTAATACAAGCTTGAATCTCTTTGGATATTTCTTAAGATTTTTCTAATCCTTTTCAGTTTGTTTTGATTTGAACATATTTGATTATTATGTAATAAATACATAAATGGATTGGGCAGCAGGTATAGCCTACATAAGCCCTCTTCAGTTTGTGAATACAGTTCTGGAAGAAAAAATAAAGATTTTGCAAGCATACAAATTTTATTTTACCATTATGAAAGCAAACAAATATTTAATTCAGTATATTTTGTGTTATTTTATAGATGGAAACTACAATCAAGCAGGCAGAGGAGGAAAGAAACAGATCGCTGGAGTCAGCCAAAAAGTTATATGAAGAGTTCCGTCCCCTGAAAGACGAGGTGGATCAGCTGAGGGGCGTCATAGGGCTGGAGAAACTCCCCGATCTCCAGGAGGAGGAGGAAAAACTCACCCCCGAGTAAGAATAAAACTCGACCCTGAGTAAGAATAAAATTCACCCTGAGAAAGAATAGAACTCACCCCCAAGTAAGAATAAAACTCACCCCACAGTAATAATAGAACTCAAACCTGAGTAAGAATAAAACTCGACCCCGAGTAAGAAAAAAGAAACTCACTCCCGAGTAAGAATAAAACTCACATCTGAGTAAGAATACAACTCATCCCACAGTAAGAATAGAACTCAACCCCCCTTCCCCCCGATTTAGAATAGATCCCCCAACCCCACCCCCCAAGTAAGAAAAGAACTCACTCCCAAGTAAGAATAGAACTCATCCCCCAGGTAAGAATAAAACTCCCTCCTAAGTAAGAAAAAAAATCACTCCCAAGTAAGAATAAAACTTACTCTGGAGTAAGAAAAAATTCAACCACAAGAAAGAATAGAACTCACCCTTGAGTAAAAATAAAACTCACTCCTGAGTAAGAATAGAACTCACCTCTAGCAAGACACTGTTGTAGACATAGGACGTACACCAATGATACACCCCCACCCCTCCTATTAAAAAATTGTCAGAGACATCGGAAGTACACTAATCCATTAAACTCACCTTAGAGTAAGAGACTGTCAATATCTTACATGTTTTATTTTCAGTTTCTTTGAGAAGCAAAACACAGAGTGGACAAGTGAGCCCCCTCCTGAGCCCCCCGTCCCCCAGACCATGTCTGTTCCAGCAGCCACGCCCACTCAGATTCAGGTCCCCAGGACCCAGAAACCCCCAGAGCCTAGGCAGCAAACATTCCGTCAACAGCCACCCCCAATGAAGGTAAGTCATTCTAGAATTAATGTAAGTAAATCATTCTTAAGTCAAAGAAGGTAACTCATTCTTAAGTCAATGAAGGTAACTCATTCTTAGACATTGAAGGTAACTAATTTAAGTCAATGAAGGTAACTCATTCTTAATGAAGGTAACTCATTCTGAAGTCAATTAAGGTAACTCATAAGTCAAAGATGGTAACTCATTCTGAAGTCATTGAGGGTAACTCATTCTCAACGCAATGAAGGTAAATCATTCTTAATGAAGGTAACTCATTCTTAAGTCAATGAAGGTAACTCATTCTGAAGTCACTGAGGGTAGCTCATTCTTAAGATGAAAGTAACTCATTCTTAAGTCAATGAAGGTTAGGGTAACTCATTCTGAAGTCATTGAGGGTAACTCATTCTGAAGTCATTAAGAGTAACTCATTCAAGTAAATTGAAGTTAATCACTCCTAAGGGAATGGAGATAACCCACTTTCAAATACAGATGGATTCTGTTTCACTGAAGAAAAGAAAAAGTTTTCATTGACAGACATGAAAACATGATCTTTATTTTAATTTATCAGGAAATCTAAATACAAGTATTGTGCAGCTTAGTTTCTGTTAATAATACATGTGTTTCAACCTAATTAAATAACTTAAATTTTCAATTTGCAGTAAAGGAAGACATAAAACACTGTTTTTCTATTAACATTTAATTTGAATCCTGATTATTTTACAGGCCTGCCTTTCTTGTCACCAACAAATTCACAGAAACGCGCCAATATGTCCACTGTGTAAGGCAAAGAGTCGTTCCCGAAACCCTAAAAAACCAAAGAGGAAACTGGACGAGTAAGGAATGCAATGCAATAAGAAGCAATATACCTGAACATGACCAGAGTTCTGTGAAGGATTTATAAACATCACAAACTCTGCTGATTTCCATGCCATAGCGGACTACCGATAGTTTATGTCATTATGTGGGTAGATGAGGCATTAGGCTTCACATAGAAAGTTGAAATAGTCCATGCCTATATATTCAACATTTAAATAAGCAGAATACAGATTTGTCCAAGAAAGTCCAAGAAATCAATGTTTAATGTGTTCAATTGTCATGTAGATGGGCTCATATTAAGTTTTAGATTTTGCAAGCTTTCACACTGTTGTTAGTACATGATATATGAATAAATGTACATTGTACATGTATGTAAGGTTGTGAATTACAAAACTGTTACCAAACAATTCAGCATTATCATTTCAAAAAAGCAATATTCTATTTTTAGAATGTTTTAAAGTATCATGTTCTCAAAAGCTTATGCAGGCATCATAGATATATTTTATTTGTTATAATTTTTCTTTGTTAGTTATCATGCAGTATTTGTCTTGTAGATGTACTTTTTTAAGATAAATCCTTTTTCTACAAATATGTAAAACTGTCCCTCATATTTGTATAAATTCATATCAATGAGACAAAATCAAATTGATTGAAAGTTGCTTTATGTCCCACTCAGGAATTTTTCACTCATATAGAGTACATGTACCAGTGAGGGGTTCAAATTTAGACCTTCATACAGCACTCAGGGAGGGATCTTTAACATGGCAACACCTGTTGTGACACGTGGAATTAGTTTTTAACATCTCATGCAAAAAGCTAAGAACTTTCACCTCTCTGTGCCAAGTGCTTGGCGAATGAATAGTTAATAATCTATTTTTGTTGACTTTGGTCAGTAGCGGCTGGGGTTTGAATCCGCGATCTACTGATCATAAAGCAAGTAATATTCAAATTAAAATATTTACATTTCACTTGTATTTTGCATGTAAAGTGTGTGGAAATCTATGGCATTCAAAACACAAAAACACAGATGGGGTCAAAAGGTTAGAGGATTCATTTTATTTTGACTTCGCAAACATTGAATTGCAATGTTATACTGGTATGTGAAAATCAAAATCTGGTTCACATTGAACACTGGACAGAAGCAGATTGCATTTAATTTAGCTCTTTCATTAACTGCATGTAATCTATCCAAAGGATAATGCAGGGATTTTGAAATATAGATAGCATTTGCAGTCATTGCAAGGAGTGAAAAATGTAAATATAATCAATGAATCATTAATTATTTTAAAGATATAATGTCAAAACTACAATGCACATTGCCCACTGCAGTTATGAGATTTCTTTTAAAAAATAATAATTCATTGCCTAAGCACAGCACTCTGTTCAACAGAGCGAGTGTTTGCCAACACATACCTAAATTCCTTATACCTCCAGCAGAAATGTTCGTGAGCACTCACTTTGTTGAACAATGAACAGGCCTCAGATCTTACTAGTGCTCGTAAGCTGTGCATTATATTGCAAATGGGCAATATTTATGATTGGGTTTTCAAGTTTCTTATGTCTTTCAACTGAAAATGACTGATCCTGTGGCTATAACGATGGATAATACTTTCAGCATGCAGATAGATCAGTCATGTACAATACAAGCATTACAGTTAAAAGCCAGTCCAGAATTGTTAATCACTTCAATATCCTGTGACCTTGTACAAATGACTATGACATCGCAATTTCAATTATTGCAATTTCTACATTTGTATGCTGTCCCTTTTGCCATCATTGCAAAAGGGTAAAATTAAAAATAGGGCAAACTGAGAGACCACACTGTTATCTCTTTTACACAACAGTGTCCGGGCCAATTGTTTTCTTTTAAAATCCCTTCAAGAATTTTTTGTTCAAACTGAGATGTCAACACCTGTCAGTGGAGGGCTGAAAATTTAGACGTGTACTTGGCATTTACGGCACAGCGAGGGATCTTTTTTTGTGTAAGCTTTACCTACTGCAACACGAAAACCTTGTATTTATAGGACCTTATCCAAAGATGCCGTTACCATGACCAGCAGTGGACTTAGAGCCTGCAACATAAGGATCAACTCCTTCCTCTGCATCATGCATCAAGGGATTGATGAATTGTTTCTGCCAACTGCGATCTTATCAGTTTTACTATCAAATAAAAATTGACTGCAACATCTAAAAAAATTTTTTGAAGCAGTACATGAAATTGTGCACAATGCTTATTAAGGGGAAAATTATAAAAAACAAATAAATCCACACATCAGAGAATGATTTTTATTCCATTTTAATCAGTAATCATTTAAAGAATTAGAAGTATGGATGAATAAAGTTTCCCAATATAGAATATTACATACAGATATCTCTTATTTCACTTTGAACAAATATGTGTATCGAAGATAATTTTTTATCTGTAAAATACTGATTTGAAAATCCTCTATTACATGTATAATTCAATGAATCATTTATTACATATTTATTGCAGATACTGCTGTCAGAAAGGAAAAGATACATTTTAGCTTTATGGATTAAATTGATATATAGACAGAACAAAACTAATGTTTACAAAAAAATTACTATGCGACTCCCTGATACCCCCACCCTCTTTTCCAGCAGAGAAATTATAATGTTTAAATATATCTATACACCCAGATATTTCAAAACACTTAAAGAAAAAAAATTAAACATACAGACAGCTCGTAATCTCAAACTAGCTGATTTTCATTCTATATTTGAATGCCAAAAATTACATATTACAAATTTTTAAATATTAAATTATTAAACAATAACAACCTATTCAGTTATTTTAGTAGAAAATTCAAATTGGAGAAATCCATAGTTGAATATAGTTGAAGAAAATATATAGTAAATGTAAATTTTATGCACAAAGCCATTATTTTTAAACATATTGACATACAACACAATGTGACAATAGGCAAACATGTAAGGGTGAGAATGTATCCTAGATGAAGTAAAAATTTTCTTACACAAGTAAATGTAAATGTTGGTAACCTGTAACATACTGATGATTTTTTCCATTGTTCAACATTACAATATACACAGTCAAAGTATCATACATGTACATATCCTGCAAACAACTGAATGTCAAAGAATATATACAGGCTCATACTACAAACTCTTCTCAGTATCTACAGGGTAGTGTTTACTTCAAAACGTCAAGTTTTGAGTCCATTTAAGAATTTAATAATTTACAAGCACTTCAATGTCCAAACATTTGAAAACAACAGACAAATTTGATGAAGTAGAACAGCTTGCTAGGTCAGGAAGTCCCCGACACAGTTCAGGTGTCCCAATGTTCCGTATTAAACTAAAAAGCTTCCAAAAAATCTTCTTTATAACTGTAAAGTAAAATAAAAATATTGAAAGAAATATACATGACGCTGATTTTCTTATATTGGAAATCAACTTTCAAGGGAGTGAACAGATCAAGAATTTTTTTTTCAATATTTTGTGAAAATCGTCCATAAAACATTTCCTTTTTTATTTTGAAAAGAATTACCAACAATTAAAAACCAAATCACCTCTATAAAATCTGTGTTAAGCCCTACATTATACTTACATCATCAATCTCATCATCGTCTCCATCAAAATCTCCAAACTCGATGTTGTCCTCGGCTTCTTCATCATTAACATTCTCATTAATACGGGCTGTAAACACAGGACAACATATTAATTAACAAAGGATCAATGTCATTTCCTCTGTAAACACAGACATATTATCAAAGGATCATGTCATTTCTTCTAGACATTTAACTTATTTAGAGTTTCATGGTTTTTCTTACAATTTGATTGATTGTATATTTTTTTAATGTCCAATTCAAGAATTTTTCACTCATATAAAATGATGTGTGCAATTTTTTGATTTTTATTAAATGGTACATGGTCAAATTGAAAAAGAACTTAAAGAAGTTTTAAGAACAGGATTGTTTATGGTTTTTTTAACTGGTATCTAAAAAAAAAACTCTGACTTGGAATTAAAATGCCTGCTCAGACCAAAATTGTAAAGATTGAAGTGTATAATATTAGACAAACTTGATTCCGGCAGTTCTCCGTAGGCTTTCAGATTCCTGGCTTCGTCTGCGGTATATTTCAGAATAACATCAGCCTTTGTGTCCTGAAATTCTCGGAGACCCAGTAGAATAATGTCACCACCATTTATCCAAACCTATGTAATAATATATTTATATAATTAATGCTGTTCTAGTTATATATGTGAAAAAGAGAGCATACTTAATAGTCAGTTAACAAACTGAACCCAAGTATTCCCAGTTTACATTCTTAGCATTACATCCATTGATTATTTTCTAAGCATGAAGATTTACTGTTGTGAAACCTTTGTGATTTGTTACAATTTAATACCTATCACTGCTTTTCATCTTTAGCATGTTTAGAGTACACCAAATTTAATTTTTTTTTCTGGAGTCTCCAAAATTTTTTTTATCCCAAATTAAATTGTCATCAGATAATAATTTTTAAAGCGATGTCTACTGTACAATTTTCAAGAGAGTTGTGTTTAAATCAAAACCCTCAAAAATCTCAAAATAAACTGGAAATTACAAAAAATCACATGCTACTATACCCCAATGTACAGACAACAAATCAATTCACCTTTTTCCGTAACTTCCCTCTTATGTGACACAACCTCTTTACACCGTCAAAACACTGGGCTTCCAGTCGACCATTGCCCAACATTTTTGTCACTTGTGCATATTCTAAAAGAAAAATAAATAATCAGAACAATCCATTATGAAAAAAATAGCCAAATTCTTCAATCCTGTTTGAAATAATTTCCAACTTTAATACTGGTTGAATTGTTCAAAAAACATAAATTGCAATATCAGGAATCTCAGGAGTTTTAATCACAAAATCTTTAGTATTAATATGATTTTTAAATGAAAAGCTAATTACTTCTAGTTCAATGTAGTTGGTGTCAAACACATGACTTTGCTCCCAATGTTTGACAGATCTACATCTTTTAATTATCTAACCGGTCAGATAACTTACCCAGTGCTCCAAGTCACACTTGCTCTTAGGTCGCAAAATGGCGACCTAAATTTTTTTTTGGTCGTCATATCAGAATTTCTGGTCGCCATAATCAAATATTTCACTCGCCATAAAAAAAACATTTTGTGAATAAAACTTGATAATTTAAATAAGGATATGTTATGTCTTTATTATATCAAAGATTACTTATTACTGTAACTATAAAAATTTGCTAGGTTGAATGAAATATTTTTATTGAATACATGTACCCTTATGGTTGTACAGAAGAACACAAGTAATCTGAGTACAGAAATGAAATTTTATCAAATGAAAATACAAGCTTGATAGCTGTGGAGACAGGACTTTACCTGCTGTTTGTCATGTTAACTTACTACTACGTACCTAACCCATTACACAGTCATTATAAATACTGCCAAAACACTCTTTATTAGCATGATTCATTGTGATATGCAAGCAATTGACCAAATGCTTCAATAACAAGGTCGGATCTTAGAAAGTTTACGAAGTTTGGATGCCACTCTATCAGGAACATTATTTATACACGTCTCTGGTTCTGTCAAACTTTGTATAGCATGCTGCCATAACATTACGTGATCTAAGTCCATGTGACGCTTTGTAAAGTGCATTTAAGTATATGTCTTCAAACATTTTCTTGATAGAGAATCTTTACAAATAAAATCTCGATCCCGATCTTTAAAAAAAATGGACGTTTTCACCCAAATTTTCTACCAAGTTTGCGAAAATGCGAGTGTGTTTTCATTTTAAGTCGCAAAATCAATTTTTGGGTCGCAAATGCGACCATTTTAGTCGCAACTTGGAGCACTGTTACCCTTCCCATTCTGATTTATTTGAGCTAAAAATCACATGCTACTATACCCCAATGTACAGACAACAAATCAATTCACCTTTTTCCGTATATCTTATGTATCACAACCTCTTTGAGTCAAAACACGATTCCACGATATGCATTTTTGTCACGATATGTTTAATTGAAAAATAAAATCCTCTTTTGCATTGAAAAAAACAAATTATTTCTTTGCAAATGAAATAATTTATTCAAAATAGTTTTTTTTTGTCTCATAAAACAAAAATTTTTTATCATTTGGTGTTAATTATTATTTATTTTATATCTATATTTATATTTAACTTATTTATTTTATATATTAAAAGCCAAATGTTAAATAAACAAAGTGTCAAACACAGAAGTCCCAATTTTTTTGGCGATATTTCGATATTTTTTCACATGTATCGATATGTGTATCGTCCTCACATATATCACGATATATCAATATCTCGATATATCGTCCCAGCCCTACTAATTAACTAAGAAGTTTGTCAGATAATTCACCCTGCCCATTCCAATTTACTAAGAGGTGTGTTAGATAATTCACCCTGCCCATTCTAATTAACTCCACTTGAAGCTGCTTGGGTATCTAGTACCTTGCACACTAACCTCAGATGTCATAGATGTTCTACATCTTGCTGATTCAGTCATGAGATCTACCGGTAATTTGAATGTCTTTCAAATGCTATACAATTCAAATGTGACTTACTTTTTGGCATGGCCATCACTTGTTTTTGCTTTAAAAGCCTACTAACATAAAGTTGTAATCAAAACTTATTTACAATGAAGAACTAGACAAATTAAGAAACCTTTTTGAAGAACTTTATGCAGAGTAAAATATAAAATGAGTGACAAGGCAGTTTCCAGCTGAGAAATGTATTGACTTGATGCATATTCCTCCACCTATCACATCCAAGGTGTGATTGGAGCATAGCATAGTCAACAGATAATTGATGATTGAATTTAATCCCAAGTAAGATACCCCCTCCCTTCGGCCAATTCTAATTTACTCCTCAATTTGTCAGATAATACTCCCTGCCCATTCTACCTTGCCCTGTATAAGTCAATCAAGGTCAGATAACTCACCCTGTCCGTCCTCTTTGAAGACCAGTTCTCTCTTTTCGTTTTCGTTCTCATTCTTCCCTCTCCTCCTGTTTTTACCTCCCTTTCCTGTAATATTTCTTTAATTATTATCAATTACCACTAATATGCTATACTAACAATTTTTGAAATCAGTTTTGGTCCTTCAACCCTGTGAAAGGACTCACAAAAAGTAAGATTTAACAGGTCCTTCTCATAATTTAGGGAAGAGGATTTGCTGAGAAACAAGGGGGAAAACCACAGAATCTCTTTGATTTTAGGGATTTTATGGTTATGGAGCAAGAATGGGGTTACTCATCTTAAATTTGGAAATTTTAATGGAAGCAGATGTCCCCACCCCCTCCTCTAGATTAGACGTATTAATTTCCGTTGGTACTGAAATTTTCTTAAAATTCTCAACAACTTTCAACAACAATGAAAATGTAGAAGATGTGGATCTGCATGGGAAATATTTCAGTAGTTCAGTTGTTATAAGGTCAAAATAATTCAAACCCTAGTCTTGAGTTTTTGCGATGTGATGAATCATAATGACTTTGAAAAATTGTGTCGCATTCCTGTGGCTTCAAATCAAAGCTGAAGACTAGGATTCTGCTTCAATAATTCGACTTTTTACATATTTACTGACGAATCACTTTCCTTTCTTCAACCCAAGGCTAGGATTTTACTTTTGACTTTTTGTTGACTCTTTTGAAAAATATTAAGAACACAACTCGGATTACCTGAAATAACTGCTCCGATTAACGAAAAATAATAGAATATTAAAACAACAAAATGTCCACCATTGTCGGTACGCATTTACGCATATGCCATGTCTAATACATGTACATGTTAACATTAATCATACATTCTACTTCGATATATTCTGTTCTCAGATAAATATTTACCTTTATTCTTCGGCATATTTGTTGTTTTCAAAAGATTCGATAGTTTTGACTAAATCAATCTGCTCTGGAAACGTTTTTCAGAGATAAAAGCTGTTTCTCAACCACGAGAGGAAACAAGTGCAATAACACCGGAAGTAATGAGTGGATCCGATTCATCAAGACGCTTACATTTTGTAAATTGATTAAGCGTTTTTATGATCTCTCTCTCTCTCTCTCTCTCTCTCTCTCTCTCTCTCTCTGTGTGTGTGTGTGGAGTATCTTGCGTTTCGTAATTGTCACGGGTGGGACAGGATTTTTTTTTTTAAATTTCATTGTGCAAAAATATTTATCAGCACTTCAAACATCAAGAAACCTGTACCTGTGACGTCACACGACGTCATCGAAAAAAATTCCATATATCAATTTTGGTCGAAAAACATTGCAGAGTTATTTTTTGTTTATTTGAAAAATATCTACAAACTGAGAGCCTTTCATGCTTTACGTTATTATTATTTACTTTATTTATTTATTTATTTATTCGCGCAAAGGACATTGGGTAGTGCAGGAATTCGGAATGTTGCACAGGACGTATGTACATATATAATTTCTTACACGTTAGACTATATACCCTCCCTCGCTTTTCAAGCGGGGGTATATAAAGATTCTGTGAAAGTCTCATTAAATTTCATTCAGTGGTATGAGAGGAGTTGCGATAAAAGAAGGATACCCCAAAGCGTAACAGACGGACGTGCGGACGTACAGACGGACATCCCGATTACTATATATACCCTCCCACTTTTCAAGTGGGGGTGTAATTAAAAAAAAACCCTCTGAATTGATAGAATAGATTATATCGCAAATGTGTCACCTATATATACATGGAATTTATGTGAAAAAAGGCCTGGGGTCTATATCGAAGGGGGGGGGGGGTCCTGTATTCTTTTATATATAAGCTCCTGTGATCAAAACGTTGCCTCTCAAAATTCAAGAGACATAAACTACTAGTTATTGAATATAAAAGCCCAACGAAGATCATGTAAATAAGTCAATCTGATTAAAATCAGATCCTAGATCCGCTCCTTTGTTTGTTTTTTTTTTTTTGTTGTTTTTTTTTTTTTTTTTGTCGCTACCTCGTGTTGCGACAATAAAAAAAAAACAAAGGAGCGGATCGAGGATCTGATTTTAATCAGAATGATAAATACATGTAAGTTAAGATCAAGTGGTTTATTACACTGGTATTCGTATTTTTCTTGTTTTACTGAGGGGTGCTTACTCCACTGTGGCACCTCATCTAACCTATGGTGGTTTTAAGGACAGATGATACAAACAAAAAATGGATGCCTGGATTGGTATATATTTTTTGGCCTAATTTCATTGCAAATGATGCAAATAATAAATTTCTAGAATATAAAGAAATTGTAAACCTTCTGTGATGTTCGAAAGTCTGTTCTTCTGAAACAGATCCTTAATTATTTATCCTTATTTATCTATACAATTTTTTTTCACCTTAAATTGAATTTTTGTCCAAATTTGAATATATAAAAATCAAAAACTAAGCGGTGAAAGCTATTCATTTTATTCATTTAAACATGACCCAAGTTGTTATTCTCAATTTTTTTGACAAAAGTTTGTTTGTATATCATCTGTCCTTTTAAGAGGTATACCGGTTATTCCCCATTTTCAAAAGGTGAGTTATTTCCCCTGAATGGAACTCTTTTACTGTGTTTAATACGCATGCGCTATAAATAAAGTCACTTCCGCGGACGTTATTGATTTAAACATGTTTATGGTGTAATGCATCTGTCATATGGAAAAATGTTATTGTGCTTGTGAATAAAAAGAAATCTTAATTGATTCGTATTTTTTTTAAAATTGCCCACTCATAGTCTCTTTCTGGATTTGTATTAATATGTGTAGTACTATAATAAGGTGCTGTGTGCCCCCCCCCCCCCCCCCCCCCCCTTACAAAAAAAAGAAAGAAACAAATTACTTAAAATGCTGAATTTCGAATAGGCCTATTAAAAAAAACTAATAAGCTAATTTTCGGTAGTGGATATTCTGCAGACGGATCATCATTAGGCCAGCATTTTTTTATTTTTAGGTTTACAAACCCGCCGCTCGAGTTTTTGAATTTTCAGAAAAAAAATAAAATTGAGAAAAACAGAATTTTTTCTTTTATGTCAAATTTGAGTCTCGTTATTTTCAAATTTTAACTCGTACTTCCGGTTTCAAAATGCATGATGGCGGGTAACGAAGGTAGATTTGTCAAATCCATAGCAGCACTAAACCTTGGTTTATTGTAAATATTTATCGATAGGAGTGCCATTCAAAACGTCTCACTCCTTCAGGGAACAAATAAAGTGCTCACGACTTTGTTGCACAATGACATGTTGGTGAGATAATGTATCCGTAATCAAAAATATCTGTCATCTGTCTGTAAATTAATTTTCTCCCACAAGTTTAAAACTGCCCATGGTAGCTCTTGTCAGAGACATTGTTTAAGTTTCTGTTATAGCTTTCAGTCTTATCATCATTCTTCAGAAAGGGGTCGTTATTATCAGATGTAATGAATAAAACTATGGGAGAGATTAAGTCCATTTTTAGGAAGAAATAAACAATAATTTTGCCTAATAAACAAGATATTTCAACTATTTAAAAACAAGTATATACAAAATTACAAATATATACAGGCAGGTAGTATCGTTTGTGGCAGCCAGAAAAATTATTTTACACTTAATTGAAAAAAAAATCCATCCTACTCCCCAATGCTCCCTTTCTGTTTCAAGAAAGGAATTATTATTTTAGGTCTCAAGTATATTAAGAACAATTTCAACACATTCATCTAATACATATTAAAAAATATGAAGATATATATATATATATGTATATTGATTGAAAGAGTTTTAAAAATCTGTTTTTTTTTTTAATCTGTATTTTGTCCAACATCACAAGATTTATCATTTAAATCACTGGCCCCAACTGGTAGAAGATTAAATAAACAATTAAGGGTTCTATTTTCCCCTTTGTAACCCTTATGTGTCCAGTGGCAAGGAGCCTGTTAGGAGAGCATAAAAAAGAAGCAAAAATTAATGTAGAAAAAGTCGATAATGTATCCAAAAAAATAATTTTATTTTTTTTTTTTATTTCCTCCTCCTACGGGACTTTTTCATTCCGATGTTTGTAAACCTAAAAATAAAAAAATGCTGGCCTTATTTACAAAATGTGCGGAACAAATTTTTAGTTATAAAGTTTTTTTTTTCTATTATACGTCTCTGTTTTTAAGAATTAATCTAGCCTGCTGCAGCCATATTTTCTTTGTATCTCTAGGAATTTTTTGGAGACTGATGACTACCTCTGAAATTGCTGCATATACAACAATACTTAAACGTCTTTTTTGCAAAGAAATACATTTTGTGCTCGATTGTATGTCATAACATAGAACTTTTACTTTTACAAGAACACATTTGGTGACAATTAAAGGCCTATTTCATTTGAATTAACAGTGTTTCTAGAATTTTTTATTTGTAAAATAATTGATTCACCATATATATTAAAACTTTAAATAGAATTCTAAATGAATAATTTAATCTCATGTCCTCATGTAACGAAGAAAGACTAATTAAAATAGCATTGACCTGAATTTGTGTTTCATATGTCGTATAAAGTCTGAGCTGCATTTAATCAAAGTTTTAGTGTCGGGTCTAAGCATATGTACGTACATGTATATTCCCGAGTAAAATACACATTTTGTTTAAGATCAGAGAATTGATAGCTAAACAAAATTGATACAATAATTTCCTAGCGTATTTCTCGTTAATTAACGGAAAACATTATTTTCTCAACTGTTATTTATTTTTTAAGAATCCTTTCAGTGTAAGTACATGTATTTATTTTTATAAGTTATTCTTTTTTGCAAAGTGTGTAAAAAACAATATGAGAGAGAGAGAGAGACTCATGTAACCCCATGTAACTGACATACATGTACATCTGTGAAAAAATATATGTACCGTAATTTTATTGAAATCACAATTATAGTAATTCTAATAATTTTCAATTTTCACAACTGTGGTTCATATTCAACTGTTCAACCCATTTACATATTCGTTCTATGTACCTGTACGCACACGGGGGGGGGGGGGGGGGGGGGGGGGGGGGGGGGGGCTATTACAAGGAGCTTAGCCCCACCCCCACTTTTTTCCCAATATTACTTTTTCTATTGAAAATGTTCATTGATAGACAGGTTGCCAACCCAACCCCCCCCCCCCACTTTTAAAGACGTTGCTTCGTGTCTGGCTAATTCGTATAGCTTTCTAGAAAGGGGGGGGGCTAACAGACCTTTTATAAAATAATTCATTATCTAAAAAAATGCAAACCGTTTCCTTCTTTTAAAATTTTTAAATACAGCGTGTAAGTTGATCACTATTTTGTTGGATAATCGTAATGTGTAGTCCGCGGAAGTTAGGCTAGTGTAGAAGAGTTCAGATTTTGAGGGGAGATAACTCACTTTTGAAAATGGGGAATTGTTTTTAATAATAATCACACGAAGCCTCCCACGAAATGATGTTAATTTCAATAGTCCTCACCCACTGACGTCAAACACAAAGACAGCAGCACGAGAATTTCATGCATATTTGGCCAACTAAGCTTCAGACGAAGACAAAAGTGCACGAAATTTACATGCATATTAGACCTCCTTAGCTCCTGACCTATCGACCTGCCTAATTTACATTCCGGTAGAATTATAAAGAAATCAACTCAACTAACTTTAATTTCAAAGAGTTATCACAGAGAAAACAAATAGAAATGGAAATAAAAGTCCTTAGTCCTTATATCCATTGTATAAAAAAATTACGAAATTCTCGATGATATCATAAACGTGTGATTTTAGGAGCATGCAGAAAAAAGTTTTAGGATACCAGTACATTAAAAAGGACTGACAAGAATACGGGACTGAGACAGTGGTTGCACTGAAGCACAATTATGTTGAAGAATGGAAACAATTAAAACAATAAAATCTATTCAAAAGACCTTTATTTTTACAAATATCTATGATGGTACTGCAATTAAAACATAACATTATAAATGAATGCTTTATTCAGGAGGAGGTGGTGGGCCTCTAAAATGATGCCAGGGCGGAGGGTGGTGCCGAGGGTGTCCAGGGCCCGGATGCCATGGCGGGTGATGACGTCCACGTGGCCCACAGGGATGACGTGGGTGTGGTCCGTGTGGAGGAGGAGGAGGGTGGTGGGGGTGTCCTCCATGACAACCAGGTGGCGGTGGGGGGTGATGTCGCCACGGGGGACCGTGATGGCGCTTAAATCTTGGAGGATAATGCGGAACAAAATCATATGAAGACGGACGTTCATCTGGCTCTGTCACAAAAAATACGTTTTCAACAAAAATTAGAACAATCAAAACCAATTAAGCGTATTAACTTTATGAAATAAAACAGTCTCAATATATATACAATGCAAGTAGGAAATCCGCACCTTGAATATACTCTACCATACCAGACTGGTCATTTTGGGCATCTTTATTTTTCATTTCTGTTAATTCTTTCTGCTCGTTGTGCTGTTTAACTTTCTGTACAATATTTGCCAGATGGAAATTTTTCGGGAAATTCTTTACACCCCCTGTGGGGACCTGGGCGTCAGCCCGACATTGTGGACACGTCACGGTGCTGGGACTACTGCTGTGTGTAAGGTTTTGTAAGCACTCTGTACAGAAGCTGTGGAGGCAAGGTAACGAGATGGGACAGTCGTACAATTCCAGGCATATTGGACAGGTCAACTCGTCATCAAGATTAAAAGAGCTCATCTTATGCCTGAGAAAATGTGTATGAATACTGAGGCAAAAATATAAAATCACCTGCTCTTTTTCAGGTATAAGATTTGCTAAAAAAAAAAAACAACAAACAAACAAACAAAACAAAACAAAACAAACAAACAAATAATAAACAAATGAAAGCTACTTAAATCAATTGCAAAGGAATCTCTTGCTTTATTAAAAATGTTTGATAGCATAAATCTTGCAATCACTAGCCGTGATGGACTTTACTATTCTCCTATAGGCTAACTTTTAAAAAAGTGACAGCCAGAGCAGTGAGAGCACTAGAAATTGGAATACTTACCTTCACTTCTCTCAAAACGACAAAACGAAAGTACAGGTATTACTGAATAAAATACACATGTATGTACATGCGCAGGGATGTTCACGTGTTTTTTGCGCTTAAAAGAAATACACCCCCCAACTTTCTCGACTTTGTTATGAAATACTTGAAAATAAATTATTGGTAATCATAGAAAATATGTTACAACCACAGACGTTGTATGAAGGGAGCTGTCAGAGGAGCCCCCCCCCCCTACATTTTTCCAAACAAATACTTTTTACCATTCAAAATGCTGGTTGCATTGCAGTGTAGTAAAATCAGGGTAGTATGATAATTCATGAATAAAATTTGGTTATATGAAAGAGGTTGGAATAAAAAAAAATTCCTCCCAAACGAAATAAGAAATCGGTTTCCTTTTTTTTTTTAAAATGAGTTTTCTCTGACTGCCCTGCTTTCCTTTCAAAAAACGATATTTGGCGCCTGAACCAATCTTACTACCTATATGTTTGGTTAAAAAATCCACGATTCCCATTTTAAAACAATATTAAAATATTAAAGGGTTAATTTCTATGCGACACAAAATGTGATGGTGAAAAGCATGTTAGATTTTAGCGAAGAGTAAAGTTTAATTCTCAAATGCATGTAAAACCCAAAGGTCAAGAGATAAAAAATGTTGTTACCCAAAGAAATAACGTTTCTCAATGCCTGAAATATAAAAGCCCAAGATCTAACCATTTCAAAGTCAAGTTTTTAAATGTGGGTCAAACTCCAAGGTCAAAGGTACTAGTCCGTAGAGGGATGCCTTGTCAATAGACCGTTTCACGGTAACTGCGGTACTCCTCTTTTGCAGGGCAAAATAATATAGTTTGGTGAAATATAACGTAAAAGTAATTGTTAAAGATACGTCATTTAATTATCTGTCAACAAAAACTTCGCCAAACGTTATTATTTTGCCCTGCAAAAGTGAAGTACCGCAGTTACCGTGAAGGGGCTAATAGAAATACACGTATGAAGAAGAAAAAAATTAAAGCCCTAACATCTACTCTTAAAAGTTATGGCCAAGTTTTTTTTTCAAAACTATATCAAACTCCAAGATCAAGGTCAAAATTGTTGGTATTCAAAGCTAGGAAGCTCTTGTCATAGGAAATACGGTACTTCTGTGAAATATGAAAGCCTTGTACTGTTCAAATGTTATGTCCAATTAAGGTTAAAGTTTTTAAAGGTGTCATAACTCAAAGTTCAAAATATTTAAACCATGGAAAGATCTTGCCACAAACTTGTACCAGTCTTTAACCTTGGCCAATACTTGTGTATGGGTATTTTATGCCCCCGTAATCGAAGATTCGGGGTTATATAGTTTATGTCCTTTCCGCCCGCCTGTCTGTTTGTTTTCAAAAACTTTGACCTTGTCCATAATTTTTGACTGGGCGGGACTATGGCTTTCATATTTCAAAGGTGTATTCCTTATGATAAAAAAACTTTCTTTGGATACCACCAAATTTGACCTTGACCTTAGAGTTGGACACAGTTTTACACAAAAATCTCGAACTTTTGAACGGCTAGGGCTAGGGTTTTCATACTTCACATATGTAATCCTTGTAACAAGACTTTTCTTTTAGAAACCAACAACTTTAACCTGTTGGCCTTGATGTTTGACCTACTTAAAAAAAAAACTTTAACCTTATCCATAACTTTTGATTGGGTGGGACTATGGCTTTCATACTTCACATATGCAATCCTTGTAACAAGAACTTTCTTTTAGAAACCAACAACTTTGACCTTGACCATGGAGTTTGATCTACCTTTAAGAACTTTAACCTTGGTCATAACTTTTGCTAGGGCTCTCATACATGTATTTCACAATTGCATTTCTTGTAAGGCCTTACTTTGGGCACCAACATATTTGATTTGCATTTAAGAAAATTCAGCCTTTGCTATGTTGCCATAAGGTACGGGGGCATCAATGTTTCACAGACACATCTTGTTTTTTTTTTTTTGTTTTTTTTTTTACCTTTTGGCCATATCCCTGGAATTTGATCCAGGCATTTTTTTTTTTTTTTGTGAGTAAAAAAGGCAGAGTTTACACATTGGTAAATTCTGAAAAAAAGAACGTTTAATCCTATAATATTATATTTGGGTCCATTTTTGTTGCAAATGATAAATTTCTAAAATATTTACAAATTGTAGATCCTCTACGATGTTCAGAGTTCTACCTTTCTGAAACTATCCTTTTTTTTTTTTTTTTTTTTTTTACTTCATATTCCATTATTGTGAAACTTTGAATTGAAAAAAATAAGAAATATGCGGTCAGACTTGTTCATTTCACTCATATAAACATAAGTCAAGTTGACATTTTCAATTTGTTAGACAAAATATTTGTATATCATCTTTCCTTAAAATAATTAAACCTTGGCCTTATCTTTTGAACAGTTTTTAAGACAAGCCCTTAATTTTGGTTTTTAAACAATTTTGCTCTTTTGACGTACTCTATGTATTAAAAAAATAACCTTGGCCATATCGTTTGTATTAAGACTTTTATTATATTTTATATGTACTTTTCTCCTGACAAGACTTTCCTCTGGATGCAATGAACTTTCACCCTTTGACCTTGTAGTTTGGCCCACTTAAAAAAAACAAGAGGCCCAGGGGCCACAGCGCTCACCTGAGCACATTAGCTAGGAAAAAAACACATATGCGATCAGAACTGAAAGTTAACTTCAGTTGGGGGGGGGGGGGGGCTTGAAATTTAACCCCACAGGGGATCATAATTTCAACAGATTAGAATCTACATTACCTGAGGATGTTTCCATATAAATATTACTAACCATGGCTTTGAAATACTTGAAAAGAAGATTTAAAAAGGTTTCCCTATATATTCCTATGTAAAACTTTGGTCAGCCATTTTGGCCCCACCCTACCCCCGGGGGTCATGACTTGAACAAACTTGAATCTACACTATCTGAGGATGATTCCACATGAATTTTATCTTTCCTGGCCCAGTGGTTCTTGAGAAGAAGATTTTTGAAGATTTTTCCTATATATTCCTATGTAAAACTTTGATCGGCCATTTTGGACCCGCCCTACCCCCGGGGGTCATGACTTGAACAAACTTGAATCTACACTACCTGAGGATGATTACACATGAGTTTCATCTTTCCTTGCCCAGTGGTTCTTGAGAAGAGGATTTTTAAAGATTTTTCCTATATATTCCTACGTAAAACCTTGATCGGCCATTTTGGCCCCGCCCTACCCCCGGGGGTCATGACTTGAACAAATTTGAATCTACACTACCTGAGGATGATTCCACATGAGTTTCATCTTTCCTGGCCTAGTGGTTCTTGAGAAGAAGATTTTTTAAAAATGCCATTAATTTTTCTCTAATTCATGATTATCTCCCCTTAGAAAAGGGCGTGGCCCTTCATTTGAACAAACTTGAATCCCCTTTACCCAAAGATACTTTGTGGCAAGTTTGGTTGAAATTGGCCCAGTGGTTCTTGAGAAGATGAAAATGTGAAAAGTTTACAACGACAACAACAACGACGACAGACAAATTTTGATAAGAAAAGCTCACTTGAGCCTTCGGCTCAGGTGAGCTAATAATAATTGACCTTTCAATAGCCTAACTTTAGAATGGTTGGTGCCTGTCAATTCATATTTTACAGGCTAATTTTAGTAATTTAGACAACTCCTTTCTTTGGGTTACAGAATTTTTTATCTCTTGACTTCAGACTAGAAAATGCATTTGAGAGACTTGAGCTTTCACCATATAAGCTGTCACAAACACATCTAAAGTACCTATAGTAAAGCCATCAATGATCAAGAATATACATCGAAAATATTGAGAAGAATTAAGCTAAAGCAAGAACAAAGATATTCTTGCTATACATTTTTGAGACTGGTTAATTTCATCCAAGACAAAATCATGGCTTTATGATCAAAGACAATAGAATATGATTCATTATTACTTTATTCAACAATTTTATTTACAGCAGCTTTTCACAACAGTTTTTATTTACAAATTAATCTACTTAGATAACTTAAAACACTACCTGTGTTAAAACTCACAGAACTAAAATATCAATACATCATGCTAAGGATGAAAACCTCTTTCTCTGAAGGAAGGCAAATGAATGCAATAATAAAAGGAACAAAAAAAAAAAATCCAAATAAAATACCCCCACAGATTCAGCTGATCTAGTAGGTATTTCTTTGATTAATAAATTATCGTCACCAGACAAAGCATGTACCATAAAAAGAATCACATATTTCATATATTTACATTTCAAATGTTTTTAACTGAATACGAAATTAGGCTATGTTTGTTGATGCTATTTCTTCTCACAGATTTGTAAAATATTGTGAGATGCAGAATTTCAGACAATCCTTCAAAAATTTGTTTGGAATTGTTTTCTACAGAGTGGAACATTTCTCCCATTTAGAAACCCTTGCTAAAAGTCCAAATACACAGAAAACAAATTTTCACATAAAGCCCCCCCCCCCCCCCCCAAGAACTTTGTATCTGTTTATATTTTATGCGTATTTTTATGCTTATTACGTGAATCAAATTAATGAAGGTAAAATTTACAAAAATCAGATTTTATATTTTTAGTCAATTTCTTTAAAAGAGGCGGATATTTCAATGAGGCAGGAGGCAATTCCAAACAAACAATTATTTTCTGGTCTTAGTTAAATATATTTATCAAATCATGAAACTCAATTTAATATATATACTTTGTACATAACTTGTCTCATGCAAATAAATATTACATATGTTTTGGAATATATTTCACATATAATGTATATATGTATTCATTATGAATTAACATGTAACTTGAATAGTTGAGCCAACAATAGAGTTCCACATCTTCACTTCAAATTTAAATGCAGAGGAGTCACATATATTGTTTGGATATAAATATTGGCACCAGAGTTTCCTTTTAACTTCCATTTGAAGCATAAAAAATAATCACTTGCAAACTTCACAAATACACTTGTACACAGCACAAAAGTGTCTTTTTAGTTTCGTTTTTCTTAGGTAATGTATTTTTGTTGATGACTTGTACTTAAATGAAAATTGGGAAAAAGCACATAAAGCGTTTTTCAGATAGTTTGTGAACCTTTAAGATTTTTGTCCAAATACTTAATCAAATTTAAATCCTTCCATTCCACAGTGTTATAGTCAATCAGAACACATAGTTGGGAACAATCCAATCCTCTCTTTTAAGAAACATCTGAAAAAACAACAAAAAAAAAAACAACTAAAAATTGTGCATAAATAGTTATAAGTAACATATATCTAGTAATAAAAACTCTTGCTGCTCGCTTTTTCAGAGTTACAAATTTCTTCAATAAATCCATTGCTTAGACCACAACCAAAAAGTACTTGAAAATTAGCTTTCTTTCAAATGTTCATCATGTTAATAATTGATATATACTGGTTCATCTCTAAGCAAAACTGAACAATGAAGGATAATTCCTATGTTGATAAAATCAGCATCAGAAATACCTACAAGAGGGTTAGAGCTCTTGTAGAGTTATAGCAAATTAGAAATTAGAAAATTTTTTTTTTGTTATTTAATATTTTGAAAAGTGAAGTTTTTGTGGCTTTGTAAAGGTCTACAAATTGCAAAAGGGAAAAGAATTGTTAATACTTTTCTCTTGTAAAATGTAATTAATTGTAAGATTTTAGTGAAAAATACTTAATTAAAAGATACTTACAGCTTACTGGTGTATCACCAAACCTTCTGTGAATCTGGTCGTGATTGAACTTTAAGAAAGCTTCATATTGTTCTGGAAAAAAAAGATTGAAGTTGTCTAATACTTCACTTATATTTCTATGCATTCAAATGATAAAAGATGAGGAAAAAAATGAATACTCAAGTTGTCTACTTCTTGCACAGGTAATATGATTCACATGACTCACTAAGACATTGAATTTTTAAAGGTAAGTGTCTCAAGAATATTAAGAATAAAACTTCAAAATCTTGTGAAGATTAAAATAAAAAAAAATTATTTCTTTATCCGTCTCAACGTAAAAACCGAATCATGATGCCTACCTGCTAGTTTGCATGTGAGTACTGAGTTATACTCCTGTCGCACTTGGTCCTCCCGATCCTTCAGCATGCGCTCACAGATCATGCTGACCTGCCGGAAAGTGAAGATGGGAATGTCCTTTTTGTTGGGGGAGAGGGCATTGAACAGCGAGGTAGATGAAGACCCTGAGGGGAGGTCCAGGAGCGATGACTGGGAGGAGGACTCGTGAGGGGGAGACATGTTGGGTGGGCTGGGGCATCCTGGGTACTGTAACTGTTTCCTTCTCTGCATCCTCTTTATTTCATGACTCAGATTTGTAGCAATTTGCTCTGTAAATTTAAGAACATACCTTGAATTAACTTTATCTATGCAGACTGAAACACAGAATTTTAACTTTTCTTTTCAATTTTACAGGATTTTAAAGATATAATTACAGTATTGTAAAAACTGATTCTGATTAATATGCTATAATAAGTAAAAACACTTAAATAGCTACATAAATCACAATACATGATGAAAAGCCATGTTTACACCTTAACTACATGCAATTTCCTTATATCATTCATTCTTAACCTTTTTATTCTTACACAAAATAGTAAATACGTTTTTTTCCAAAATTATTTAAACTAGCAAGATTTTTTTTTTACCTGAACTTAGTTTTGGTCCAACTTCCCCAAAAGGCGAAGGTTGAAGTTGGTGTTGTTTTGTCGGAGGAGTTGATGGAGACAGGGTCATGGGCATACATCTTCTTCGTTTTGGTGTGGTTTGACCTGGGCTGTGTAACGGGTCGAATTCTAGAGATCTTTTCAGAGTAGCACCGCAAGCCATCTTTTGTTGATGGGCACGGTTCGAAGAAAGTCAAATTTACTAAAAATATGGGAAACAGTAAGCCACTTATGTGGATGTTAGGATTGAAAAATGTATAAACTTCCTCGGTATACGATAAAATGACTTATAAGACACTCCTTTTGGGCTCGATGGATCTCGATTTAACGATATCTACGTTAACCATCCGCCACAAATATGGAGTCTCTTCAAATCAAAACAAGACAGCCTCGTTTTGAGAACAATCGATTTCGGCAAAACGAAAACGATTAATCATGTTAGTGTATATTTTATTTAGCGAATATTACAATTTCTACCAAAATATTTGTTGTTCCAAACAGTTATTAAATGATATAACAACGCTTTAAACGATAAATACTTATATATTTGGCTCATGAAGATTAAATAATTATTTCTTCTTTCGTTTTGTGCATTGTGATCGTAATTATGTTACGCAATGGTTGTTGGAAAAAATGTCAACAAAGCACTTGTCCAGTGGTTGCAGTTTTGTTGTGCACTGTCAAGGTAATGTGTCAACGTGTCAGCTAAATTTAAGCAAACGTTGTGCATATGGATCTGTTTTACATTTATTTTATCTATGCATGATTTGTTTCTGAAAAAAATTGATTTAATCCTAATCAACTGATTCGAATTTCCTCTGGTCAGGCAGAGATATAAATACCACTGTATTTCTGGGCCAGGTTCGGTATACTGTTGATTTAATGATTAAGCTACATACCTTAATAAACTATATAGCTTTATTAAGCTATTTAGATAAGCTCATTAACCTTATTTATATGCAGTTTCCTCATTTTTATTCTCTTTTTTTTTGGGGGGGGGGTATTCATATATGGACCTACTCCTGCAAGAAAAGTGGACAGGCTTTTGACAGTACACCCAGTAGATGTGGACGAAAACTTGTCTACTTATCTTAAGAGAATAATATAGACCTTGTGTTTTACTACTGGTAATGTTAAACATTCAATTCAGTTCAAACAAGAATGATTTACTGTGATGTAAGATGCTTTTCATAAATTTCAGTGTAATCTGATGGATGACCAATACAGCAGCATTGATATTCCAGTATATATTTAGCACACTGACACTTCCCAACCAAGAATAATATAAAAATGGTGAAAAGGAAAGGAAATCCACAAAGAGCCTCAGAGGAGAAACAGAGATGTTTGACTTGGAACATGATGGACTCACTTGGTGTGAGAGACCATGGAGGCTCCATGTCCATTATAAACGATGACGATCCATGTCTCTTACATGAACTTCAACAGTCAGCTTCTAGCTCCTCAAAAGAAAAACACAGAAAGGACCCTGATCAACAAACTTATCACTTCTCACAGGATCTCATGCATGACATGTTTAATATTATTTTAAGGGAATGTGTCATGTATGTGCCAATTTTAAGCTCCAAGTGTCCTGAGCATGATGGAGGGAAGTATTTTGAAATAGGGACATTTAAAGTAAAAATTACAAACGAGAGTTTCACTCCATCTGTACCATCCCAGCTGCCGGAGTGCAGGGAATATTGGCTGTACATCAACAAAAGCCACGGACAGGACACAGAAAATACTGATCATAATATGCTGTACTTTGAAACGTGTGAAGTAGATGAAAATGAACCAAAGGAGACAATTCAAAGATTATTCTGGTGTGCTGAAGTAGATCTGCCTCTACAGGTGCCGACTTTAATATATAAAAGGAAATGTGACAACCCTGATCCTCTGAAGTTTGATTTGATTTGATTTTTAAGCTTTTATTGTTGATTCTCAAAAAAAATTGTAAAATTATTATTCTTAAATTTAGTATTATTTGTTTTATTTAAACTCTGAAAAAGATTTGTTAATTTCTTTTCATTTATTTGAGTAGGTCCTAAAATCTTTAAGCGAGTGTAAGCTGCTCCAGTGTGTTGGTCGTTATGACAACAGTCAAGCCCTCCTACACGTGACTGTGTTTGGGTCAGAGAGGTTGATCACCAGACCAGCATTTGCCAGTGAACCAGTCAAGTCCAAAGTAACCAGCACAGTTCTAAAGAATGTCATAGGATATTTCTTCTCCTTGGAACCACCAGGTATAAAAATATTACTTTATATGAAAAATAATACGACTGTCAATAATCATGAACTTTTCCTGATAGAAAATAAACATTTAATATGTTACCAATCAGAAAATATTTGCAACTGAGAAAAAGAATGAATGACTTTGCTCCTGTAAGGTACAATTACTATGAGATTGTTTATGTTGTATTTCTATCAGTTAATTCTACTGTCACAGACTACTCCCATCTGCCATGTGTCAGGAATCATGACATAGAACATCTGTACGCCGTGGTGAAACAGAGACATGACGACACAGAGCTAGAGGTCAGTGTTGACGTACAACACGATTGGCTGAGACCTGAACTCCGACCTTACCAGGTCAGGGGGGTGAAGTGGATGTTACAGAAGGAATGCTACAGTCATCTGGAGGAGAACAAGCATGAAGGTATCAAGAGCTTGTGTAAAAGACAATTGATAAATGTGCTTAATTTTTTTCCTGATTAGTTTAAAAGGTTGTTTTTTTTTCCAGATAAGATCTTTCTCCACCCCCTGTACAGTGAGATAGAAACAAAAGACAAACAGACACTCTACTATAATATGCTTGGAGGAAGGTAAAATTACAAGTTAATACTTGATATCGCAATTACTTAATTTAGCGGAACTCTTTCGCGAAGGAGGTAGGAATCGTCTGTTGGGTGGGGGCAATGTGCTTTTCAATACAATGCAAGATCGATCATTGTAGCATTTATAAGGACAGATAAGTAAAAAAATCCTGGTGGAATACCTCGCTAAACAATCGCTGAACCAGCCTAATATATTTTTGAGAGGAGCCAATCCTAAATTGTCACATTTTTAACGATATCTTTAATTAAGTGGACTCTTCTCGTTATATTTTCATTGAAAATCGTCACATTTTTTAGCAGATAAAATATTCTAAACTTTCCTTAATTGACAATCTACTATTTGGAGTTCAACATCTGACAAAACATCGTGATTTCGGCATTAAATTGTTCGAATCATTCGATTGTCACTACTGTAAACAATGTCATTTGCCCCCAGAAATGTAGACTTTTCTCGACTCCCCCGCAAAAGAGCGGTAGTAAGTTAGATAACTGCGAGGTACTCATTGGTAGTCGCGATATAACGTATTTTCTTTACATTTACATCTATTATAATAATAACATTATTTTAGAGTTTGTTTTAATAAGTAATGTCATGTTTATACGACAGAGAAATTTAGCAAGGTGAATGATTATTGAGTACTAAATGTAGTAGTTGTACATTTCAGCTTACTGAGGAACAGACCAGTGTCTATAACACCACCCCCTGGAGGGCTTTTAGCAGATGAAATGGGTCTGGGTAAAACTGTGGAAGTATTAGCTTGTATCATCCTTCACCCACGACAGAATGTGGATCCACCCCAGAGAATTACTACATTGTCAGAATATCAAGTAATTTGAAAACCTCCCTCAAAGAGATATTTGCTATTTCATATCAGATAAAGCTCTAAAGGATGTTTTATGTATGTGAGTGCATGTTGTATAAGAACATAGTCAGTACATTTTGTTGTTATACATCTGTTTGATTATAAGCTATCATTAAAAAACAACAACCTGAAGAAGGTGTAGATTACAGCAATGTAAGACTTCCTAGTCTGTAGTGATATTTGCTTTTTGTTATATTTTTTATGTAAATGTTTCAGAAAAGTGAGAGACTTGGAAGTTCTGATGCTGAATTCACTTTGGAAGGTGTGAGGAAGGTGAAAGAAGAATCATTGGACCGTAGTAAAGGGCAAGATAATGGTCATATTAAAGGTCATGATGAAGGTTGTGTTAATGGTCAAATGCATTTTTCAGATGATTTGAATATAAGTCAAAGTTTAGATAAGAAAGATGATGTTTTGGATTCTGATAAAGGCGATCACTGTACCTCAAAGCTATCAGATACGACCCAAGGTATGGACACAGATTTAGGTAAGCTCAGAGATTTGCCTAACCAAATACTCAGCAATGAATCCCATTCCACTGACAAACAATTAAACAGTCCAGAGAATGGGTCTGTGGACACACAAACAACTAATAACACAGACTTATATAACAAATCAGGGAGAAATTCTGAGAAAATCCTTGTAACAAGTGAATCTGGCCCTAACACTAACCTCCTCCACCCAAACAATTCTGCTCCACAGACTGTCATAGAATCAGATGGCTCCAACAGAGACAAAAGTGAAAGTTTGAACCAAGATCATTGTATGGATGGAGAGGTACATATGGATGTAGACCTTGTAAATAGTGTAGACTCAGGTACAAAAGGAAATGGAGATGTGGAAAAGTGTGCCGATGATAGTGTGAAAAATTTACATGGAGATGAATTAGAAAATATTGAAGAAGTAAGGATGCATGATCATCCCTATATGGAAAATTCTCAATCTGACATTAACAATACAGAACAAGTCCTTCCTCAGACTGAACAAAGTCCACATTTAAAATCAACAACAAAATCAAAAAAGTCCAAATCAAAGAGACAGAGTAAAGGCAAGGATAAACCTCATAAAGAGAAGACCTTGGTCAAGCGGAAAAGTACCAACAAGTTTGTAGAACTGGTGCCTGAGGACCAGTTTCGCAGTAAGAACATTTTCGACTACACAGAGTCTGTTGCCCCCAGAAACTTCTTTGAGTGTATCTGTGGTACAGCCAATGACTCGAGGAAGGTCAATAGGTCACGAACCCAGCTACACAGGGTTCAGTGTGTGACCTGTGGTCTGTATCAGCATGCGGAGTGTGTGGGTTATGACCTTCAGGATCCGTATAGAGGGCAGTACAAATGTCCTCACTGCCTCGTCATAGCAGTAAGTCTTCACTAAATTAATTAAATGAAGTAATTTAAAGAAAAGGTCAACACTTTTATTTAGTTAAATGAAAATATTAAGTTTTTTGATGAGTTGGTAAAAGTTTTAATTTTAAATACATGTGTTTTGGCAGGAGCCAATCAAATCAGGAGCCACATTAATTATCTCTCCAGCAGCGATTAGTCATCAGTGGACAGAGGAAATACAGAAACATATCAAAAGAGAGTCCCTCAGAGTCTTTGTCAGTACCCCATACTTATCTTAATTCCTGTTAAACAATTGTCTAATTCTTAATAATAGACTGAATTTTTGAGTCTATGTCAGTACATGTACATATTTTTATCCATATACTTATCAACAAGTCTATCAGCAACAATAGATTCAATTTGTCAATTTTTTATTTTGATTTATTTGATTACTCATTATAAAACTTTCCAAACTAAAGGTATACAATGGTGTTAACAAACAGAGGTTTGTCCAACCCATGATGTTAGCCAGACAGGATATTGTAATCACGTCGTACGAAACTCTCCGCAGCGAGATCAACTATGTGGACCTACCTCACAGTAACAGTACGTACCAACCAGAGAAATACTGCACTGAGTCAGTTTTTACTGATTGTTAGAGTTCATGAATCTTAATTTATTCCCTATTTTTAGGCGAGAATGGCAGAAAGTTCCGACATCCCAAGCGCTTTATGGCGACACCTAGTCCTATCACTGCTGTAGAGTGGTGGAGGGTAAGGGGGGATGGGATTAATGAGATCTGTTTAATTTTGATACTTATTATCTGAATGGATTATATTTAGTTGAAGTTTTATTGAGACCTGTGTATTTAATTTTCGTACTCTTTTTCTGAGTAGATATGTCTGGATGAAGCTCAAATGGTGGAGTGTACCACAACCAAGGTATGATTCTCGTGATCTTCAATTAAAAGTTGATGAAACTTGGAATAAAGTGATTCAGCATTTTCTCTGAACCTTTGTATTTTATACTTCAGACTGCTGAAATGGCTCTGCGACTGAGTGCTGTGAACAGATGGTGTGTAACAGGCACGCCAATACAGAAAAGTATCGAAGGTGATGTACCTACACCTATTGTCACGTATTTTACAAAAAATGTTAATGCTTTAAACAATATGTGTCTTTGAAATTTATGTTGTCTAATACGTAGATGAAAGGCATGCAGGTTTGAAAAATTAACGTGATCAGTTTCAAATATTTTTAGCAAGAATAATTAAGATACTGGTAAATACATGTATTATTATCAACTTTTTCCCTTTCTCTCTATCGTCCTATTTGTTTTTTTACTACAGATCTATATGGCCTTCTGCTGTTCCTAGGGGTGGATCCATACTGGGTAAAGCAGTGGTGGACCAAACTGTTGTATGAACCTTTCTGCTACGGGCGGGAGGAAGCCATGATTGATCTTGTCTCCCGGGTGATGTGGAGGACGGCCAAACATGACGTCCTGAATCAGGTCAGTATAAGATAATTTTATTTTCCAATTTTGGAATTCATAATTGGTAATTCATTTCATTTGAATTTCACATTTTACAAAGTAATCAGGTTTTATACTCAACAGCCATCAAAGGAAGAGAATTACTTTTGACGAATTTGAAAAAGTAGGCTTCTTGTCATATGGATTGTGAACAACCAGTTCATATTTTTTTTTAGATTGTGATCAACAATGCCTCTGCACGCGCAATGACCCTTCGGTGAATACAGCCTCAAATCTGGGGAATATGTAGTGTTTTGAACTGTTTGCTTGTATAGATTATGTATGGAATATAACCATCAGTATCCGTGACTCGATGAAGGTCAGATTCGTACTTATCTTACTGTGGCACTCTTTTAGAGGTAAAGATTTGAGATGTTAAGGTAAAATACTGTATTAAGTTTTGGGACTTCCAAATCACTTCGACATATCCATGGTATTCGAGATGAAGTTCAACTGCATGTAGAAGCTGATATTTCGCAATTGATTATCATTGGAATTTCACATTTTACAATTTTAATGTTATTATTTGGATTGTGGGTTGTTTTTCAGTTAACATTCCTAACAAAGTGAGCATGAAATTGGCTGACATTTTCTCCTGCCACTAAATTATTTACTCCGGGTAAGGTTTTGGCCCTTTTATTGGACTGTTTAGAGGTAAACATTTACATGTATGTGTTCTTTTTCAGAAGCTGGATAATAAGATTAAGCTCAGTAGCCTGGATAGAGCCACAGCTAATCAGGTACAGTACACTGTGTATGTGTTAAATGAAACAAAATGTCATAAAATTATATTTTATTCTGTTTATTTATTTTGATATGTAATGGACAAATGTTCTACTTTATATCAAAACATGCAGTTTGCTGAGTTGTTGTTTCCCTCAAAGAAACATTGCAATGATTAATTTTTAATTTATTTGCTTTTACTTAGATTGTAATGAATATAAACATGCATACTCTGTTGTCAATTGTTTAGTTGTTGTTACCCTCAGCATACTATATATTGTTAGTGTTTCTTTTGTCAGTTGCTGGGTCCACTACTCAGACTTCGTCAGGCTTGTTGTCATCCTCAGGCAGTCAAGGGAGAATTCCTGCCTCTCCACCTCAGACGAAGGTTAGTTACAATAAAAACCTCAGAAATATTTCTTAACAACTTTGTACGGTAGGCGTTACTTATAATTCATACTATGTATATTTAAGCATAAGATCAAAAGCATACATGCCAACTTTTGAAAATTCCCATATTTTGCGTAGTAACACTTAGAATTTCTAATTTTTTAAAAATAAATGATTATGAAATACTTTTTTTAAATTATAATATTTATAACACTTATTAATACAGCACAAATAAAACAATACAAATTGAAGTTTTATTTTTCCAAATTTAAATATCTTTGCTTATAATAGTTGTCACTCTGTTTTATTAATTCACATTTTGTTTCTGGTATGTACCTTAGCGTGTCCTTATTCATATTAAGGTATATAAACAGTGCATAATTAATTTTATCTCACACACAAAACAATTTGGAGAAAAAGGTGATTAAATCACATTTAACAAAAGCTGTGAGAAAAATTAAAATTGTCAAAGTAATACACATGTGATTGTGTACAGCCCACATCACCATGAATGTTCATTCAGTTATTGTTACATATATGTAAAAAAGAAATATAACTTCTCTACAATATGACTGAAACATTTCATATCTGCAGTAATTTATTATAAGAGAGATTATTTATATTTATTTAATCTAATTATTTTCAACATTTTTTTTAAATTGAGAAGTATACAATATTTTTATTATTAGCAGTTAAAATCAGCAACTATATATGCTTTGAAATTTTCTACTTTCGTTGTAACCATGATTTGGATTCCAATTTTAATTATCATTTTATTGACTTTAATTTTTGTTTTTAATACAATGACTAATAATTAAGCCATTATTCTATGTGTTTCACTTTGCATACCCCTTCAAACTGAAAAGATTAATTATCCCCTAACTGCTCCAGGCTATAAGCTACCTGTACCTGGACAGCAGTGTGTGCGTTGAAGCGAGAAGTGATTTCCTGTGGCTAATTAACTCTGCATGCAAAATAAACAATGAGACTGATCTGTGTGCATTGAATAAACAACTCTGATATTCTTATCCTGATTGACAAAATTCGGCGGTAGGGAAACTTAAAATCTGAATTTTTTTCAAATCGGGAAATTGGGTCAATTTTTCTCTCACGATCGGGAAGGCGGGATGAAAGGGTAAAATCGGGAGGATCCCGCCTAATTCGGGAAAGTTGGCATGTATGCAAAAGTCCCATTTATCTAAATTTAGAATTTCTAAGTTTTTGAAGGTAAATCTATCTGATCTTACATACAATGCTGATATTTTACAGTGCGATGACGATGGAGGAGCTGCTGGAGTCCCTCACTAAGAAGACAAGGACAGAATGCGAGGAGAGTCATCGATTGTTGATCGCAGCCTTCAACGGTCTGGCCGGCTGGTACATCATTAACGAACAGGTATAGCACAAAACTGTGAACCAAAAATGTGAATATTGTACTGCTCACATCACCATATATGTTCATTCAGTTTTTGTTACATAGTGAAAATGCAATGTAAGCTCTCTCTCCCACCCTACCCCTTCCTGAAACATTTCATAATAATGCAGTAATTTATTATAAGAGAGATTGAGTGGTGCTTTTAGTTTTTAGACCTCTATGTTTTCTCAACATCCATATAGAGAAAGATTTTGATAAGATATTACTTTAAAAAAGAAATCTAAACCCACCTAACACATGTATTCAAATTAATCTAGGTGTAACCATGATAAAGCTTGTTAAAGCAATAAGGGAGCATGTTTTAGATTGAGCATGACAACAAAGCAAGCATACTCTGGGAGCTATATTTATCTATTTTATTATCCCCCTCCCAGTTTGTTGATGCTGTGGAGATGTACAGGGAGGTCCTGAGGTCAGTTGAGGATCACAAAGATCGTTTCCGTACCGACGACCTCCAACAGCTCCATGCCATGTATAACCTGGCAGAGATACTGCAGTCAAAACCCGAGGGGGTCCAGCCAACACTCAGGGATGGACAGCTCAAAGAACAGGTAAACAGGGGGGGGAGGACAGCCAAACTCAGAGATGGACAGCTCAAAGAACAGGTAAACAGGGGGGGGGAGGACAGCCAAACTCAGAGATGGACAGCTCAAAGAACAGGTAAACAGGGGGGGGTCCAGCCAACACTCAGGGATGGGCAGCTCAAAGAACAGGTAAACCGGGGGGGGGGGGGGGGGGGAGGACAGCCAACACTCAGGGATGGGCAGCTCAAAGAACAGGTAAACGGGGGGGGGGGGGGCCAACACTCAGGGATGGTCAGCTCAAAGAACAGGTAAACGGGTGGGGGGGGGAGAGGACAGCCAACACTCAGGGATGGACAGCTCAAAGAACAGGTAAACGGGTGGGGGGGGGGAGAGGGGCCGAGGGGGTCCAGCCAACACTCAGGGATGGGCAGCTCAAAGAACAGGTAAACGGGGGGGAGGGGGTCCAGCCAACACTCAGGGATGGACAGCTCAAAGAACAGGTAAACAGGGGGAGGGGGTCCAGCCAACACTCAGGGATGGGCAGCTCAAAGAACAGGTAAACAGGGGGAGGGGGTCCAGCCAACACTCAGGGATGGGCAGCTCAAAGAACAGGTAAACGGGTAAACAGGAAGCCAACACTCAGGGATGGACAGCTCAAAGAACAGGTAAACAGGGGGGGGGGTCCAGCCAACACTCAGGGATGGACAGCTCAAAGAACAGGTAAACAGGAGAGGGGGTCCAGCCAACACTCAGGGATGGACAGCTCAAAGAACAGGTAAACAGGAGAGGGGGTCCAGCCAACACTCAGGGATGGGCAGCTCAAAGAACAGGTAAACGGGTAAACAGGAGAGGGGGGGGGGACAGCCAACACTCAGGGATGGGCAGCTCAAAGAACAGGTAAACAGCCAACACTCAGATGGACAGCTCAAAGAACAGGTAAACGGGTAAACAGGATAGGGGGGGGGTCAGGGATGGGCAGCCAACACTCCAGGGATGGACAGCTCAAAGAACAGGTAAACGGGTAAACAGGAGAGGGGGGGGGGGGCAGCCAACACTCAGGGATGGGCAGCTCAAAGAACAGGTAAACGGGGGGGGGGTCCAGCCAACACTCAGGGATGGGCAGCTCAAAGAACAGGTAAACGGGTAAACAGGAGAAGGGGGGGGGCAGCCAACACTCAGGGACGGACAGCTCAAAGAACAGGTAAACAGGGGGGGGGGGGGGGTCCAGCCAACACTCAGGGATGGACAGCTCAAAGAACAGGTAAACGGGTAAACAGGAGGGGGGGGGGGAACAGGTAAACAGCTCAAAGAACAGGTAAACGGGGGGGGGGGGGGGGGGTCCAGCCAACACTCAGGGATGGACAGCTCAAAGAACAGGTACCCGGTATACAGGAGATTTATGTGATAAATTTGTAGATGGGATAAATAACCCTCTCCTTCCTTTTTCTACCAAAGACAGAAAATAAATAAAATCAGTTATGATAGGATAATAGTTGCTGTAAATATGATTTTGTCAGATACAAAGCCAAAAATATTTTATTATGTATTATATACTGTATATTATTAGATGGAGGAGCTGAACAGGTAAACAGTAGCCTCAGGGATGGGCAAAAAGAACAGGTAAACAGGGGGGGGGGGATGGGATCCACTCTGTGAACAGGTAACAGGGGGGGGGGGGAACACTCAGGGATGGGCAACTCCTGGGGGGGTCCAGCCAACACTCAGGGATGGGCAACTCAAAGAACAGGTAAACAGGGGGGGGGGGGTCCACACTCAGGGATGGACAGCTTCAAAGAACAGGTAAACAGGTCACTCAGGGATGGACAGCTCAAAGAACAGGTAAAATGGGGGGGGGTCCAGCCATCTCAGCTTAAAGAACAGGTACCGGGTACACAAATATAAAATTGTAGATCAAATAGCCCTCTGTGTTTAAAGAGAGGAAATAAATAAAATCAGTTATGATGGGATAATGTAAATATGATTTTTTCAGATACAAAGCCAAAAATATTTTATATATTATATACTGTATATTATTAGATGGAGGAGCTGAAAGTGAAGTACCTGACAAAGTCGCGGACTGTGGTCCACTCTGTGAATGACCAGCTGACCCCTGTTAAACAGAGTCTACAAGACCTGCAAAGAGAGGTCAGTATGGCAGGGAATAAAACTTTATTTTTTAGCTTAACACGATTTATTGGTTACAAAGTATAAAGTCATTTGGGTGTAAATAAATACATCACAATGCATACATTCTCTATGATAAAAACCAAATAACATGACGTCACGATGCATTGTAGTATGTAGTTATCTAATCGATAGATTGAGACACACTTTGATGTTTACAAAGCATTTTTATGGGTACAAAGGAAATAAATTCGTTATCCAGGTCCAATCAAGGATGTTTGGGGATTTACCCCAGGTTTTATTCCAGGATTGAACCTGGATAACTAATATTATCTCTTAGAGGAAGGAGAAACAAGTACATTTATTTACACATATAAACTTATGTTTAAGGTCGATATATATTGGGAGTAAAGTACATTTATTTACACATATAAACTTATGTTTAAGGTCGATATATATTGGGAGTAAACAGCACAAAGTAAAAAATCTCGTGTGGTAACATTCTGAAAAGTCACAATAATCACAAATGCTTTGAAACTATGTAAAAAGATATTATTGGAAGGTTCTATTTTTTAGGATTAATTTACTTATAAAGTCATTTCAAATTAAGACATTTAACTTAATCTTACCACCATTGTAGTTTATGGAGGGACAGGAATGGTGGTTGGAGGTGATTCAGTTAGCGGCTCAGAGAGATATTGATGATCGATTGATTGACCATGTGAAAAACGACCTTAGTAACCAACAGACTAGTGTACTATCAGTCTCCATGGCAGGGGCGTAAGTAGTCATAGTAACCAACAGACCAGTGTACTATCAGTCTCCATGGCAGGGGCATAAGTAGTCATAGTAACCAACAGACCAGTTATCGTCAGTCTCCATGACAGGGGTGTAAGTAGTCAAAGTAACCAACAGGCAAGTGTACTATCAGTCTCCATGGCAGGGGCGTAAGTAGTCATAGCAACCACAAACTAGTGTACATGTTCTGCCATTTACCTAGTAGGGGGCAAGAACAGGCTAGTAAACTACATGTAAAAGTGTTTATGGTGGGGGGGGGGCATAGCAAATCATAAACAACCACAGACTAGTTTACTGTCAAACTCCTTGTTACGGATATATGTAGTCATTGACAACCACATGCTTTTGTTATCTTGCTTTAAAAAAGAAAAGAATGTAACAATAGGTTGTCATTGTGGTTTAAAATTAAAGCTTCTTTTTATCAGATTTCACAATGTCTATGGACTGGAGCTGGTGATGCAGCAGAGGATGATGGCCCTGGAATCAGCCTACGAGAAACTAAAGCAGGCCCTGAACAAGGTCACGGGAGAACCCTCCCAGGATCTCATCAACGAGACAGTGGAGTGCTGTCTGAGGCCGGTAGAGGGCGTGAAAAGCAGGTAAAGACAACAGAGAATCAAATATTGTCAAAATGATATATTCAATATATTCTTACTATAAATTTATAAATATGCATAATACAGATTTCATTAGAAATAAAGTAGGGAATATCCTACATGTTATAAATTATGTCAGTTAAATAGATTATAAGGAAGTCCAGTTGTCATTGATAAACAATACAAAACTTCATTTCCAGTTGTTCCTTCTGTAAAATCCACCTCCTGTTTGAAGATTACGAAGCCAAGCTGTTTTCATTTCAAGAAAGGTATATTTAATGCAATTTCTACAGTTATGAATGAATATTCAGTAAAAATGAATGTAATATTTCAAAAAAGAAAGAGAAATGAAAATGACATGAAGCTAATAACGGAGAGCACTGTAATTATATACATTGAATTCTTTATTTTCTGACCCCCTCCCCCTTCTATTATTTAATTCTCTATTTGCTCTATCTTCCTCTCAGAGCTTTTGCTGTGGCTGAGGACACGACAGAGGTTTCGTCTGGATCTCGGCGTCAGGGCACCTGGGCCGACAGCGAGATGGAGAGGGCACTCAAGAGTGTACTCAGCTTTGCCAGGAGTCACGCAAGTAAGAGGGCTGAAATGTCTAATTCCATACAAAGATATATTTTTGTCTCGCCTGCGACGAATTTAGCGACCATAGATTCCCTCGTCGTCGTCGTCGTCGGCGTCCAACTTTTGGTTAACCCAAATGTCAAAGTTTTATAAACTTCTCAGTCTTCTTGAAATTTGGACACAATATTCAGTATGGATAAAAATTTATATCCACACAGTTTTTTCAGCCTTTGCTGTGGCTTTTTGAGGACACATCTATAACTTATAATGGCATGATGATTTGTCATTGTACAGGTTATAAGTAACCAACAACATCAGTACCAGAATTAGGTCATTTTGACCTACATTTTTCTGCATGAATGACTTTGGTTAAATTGATAATGGAGGTTCATATTTCAGCAACTATAACTTATAGTGGCATGATAGTTAGTCAGTGGATACATCATGGGTAACCACAAACGCCTGTACCAGAATTAGGTCATCTTGACCTACATTTTTCCGCATGAGTGACTTTGCATAAATTTATGGTGGAGGTCCATATCTCAGCAACTATAACTGGCATGATAATTTGTCAGTGGATACATCATGGGTAACCACAAACGCAAGAATTAGGTCATCTTGACCTACATTTTTCCGCATGAGTGACTTTGCATAAATTTATGGTGGAGGTCCATATCTCAGCAACTATAACTTATAGTGGCATGATAATTTGTCAGTCTACACATCATGGGTAACCAACAATATCAGTACCATAATTAGGTAATCTTCACCTACATTTTCTGCATATATTTTACAGTGGATTTGATTTCAAAATGCAAGTTGTTGCAATATTCTAATAAAAACATCACAATAATTTGTGAATTTACAGGGTATATGTATATATATATAAATGCCAATATAATCGCCAAGGGATTAGATATTAAGTCAGCTGTTCCATTTCTTTATTATTGTATTTTTGAGTTATTCCTTCTGAAATGTCAATAAATGCTTCAGTTTATCAGACAATCATTTCTTACTAACCACAGCGACAGCAGGCGAGACTTGCGGGCAACCCTTAAGAATAACATGCCTTTTATTGTCCAGTATCTTGGAGGATGTGTTTAACATTTTCCCCTAGAACACCTTGGAAGTACATGCTTTTTCATTGTTTTTTTATTCCAGTGGACAGGGATCTTATTCATTATGGACAGACACACATTGAGATCATGGACAAGCTGAAAAAGGAATTCAAAGTAAGACCTATTTCATTTTCTTTCTTCATGTATATATGTTTGTGTACCTGAATGTATGATTTTTACCTCACCTGAGCTGAGGACTAAGTTTTGTCCATTGTTGTCTTAATTTTGTTGTTGTCATAAACTTTTCACAATTTCATCTACCCCAGAACCACTTGGCCTTTGCACCAGGTAACCCTGAGTAAACAGGATTCAATTTAATTCAAGGAAAGGGTCAAAGCCATTTGAAAGGGGAGATAATCTAGAGAAGGCAAACATTAAGTTGATGCCTTTCAGAAACCACTGGCAAGGGCCAAATATGGTGAAAATATGAACAAGGGTATTTTGATTACATCATGGCCTCCATGTTTTGGGCCACAAGAGGAAGTTGATGTTTTCCTTGGGAATATGCAGGAAATCATTTCAAGAACAGAAGAATCATGCCTTGATACCTTGGTAATCATGGCCCCCTGGGCTAGTATGGGGTGAATTTCCTAAAGAACATTGGGAGCAAAAGAACTCAGATGAGTATTGTACCCCACAGGCCTCATGTTATCTATAAAACACATGAGAAATGTTAAATTTTTATTTTACAGTTACTGCGAGTGTTGTGGATTGAGTGTAAGGCTCACGTTTCTTCGTTTGATGAGCTGAGTATGGCCACAACCAGACTGAGATTGAGGTTACCAGACGAACCAAAACCAGACAACAACCAGCTCAACATTCTAGAACCCGCAGAGGTACTGACACAGCAGTATAATCTCAAAATAAAAATTGTAATAGCAGTTTATACAGGATATGACATCAACAGGAATAAGTAAATAGATATTTCCTATCATATTGATATAGTGAGAATAATTTTATCCAGTGAGAAATGGCTAATTTTGATTTGTTTTATTGATATAGCTGGATCAACACAAATTAAAGTTGTTGTCAGAAAAGACAATCAGTGAGAACGAACTCCGAAAAAAATTAGGACAGCTCCTCTATCTACAGAACCTGGCCAAGGTAGGAAGGAATTAAAAGCTTTTTTCACTAGAACAATTTGGGTATTTTATATTGTGGTATATATCTCATACAGATACATGTTTTATGACATGATGCATATTATGTAAATATTTTAATCAGAAAATGGTTTTTGTAGGCACAATCAAGCAATGAGAGCGGGGAAAATCCTGACCTTTGCCCTATTTGTCAAAAAGAGCTCGGAAAAGAGGTGTGTCAAGTAGATTCTAAAAATAGATTAATACGTGTTCTTTTTTCCTAGAAGACATTATTTTTTTTAAAAAACGTAATTTTAAATGTTTCTATTGTATGCAGTGGTGTGTTTTACACTGCGGTCACTGTTACTGCCTTGACTGTATCAGAGTTCTGTGTGAACAGTATAGCTTCGGGGGCCGTAATCGTCTGGTCAAGTGTGCTGTCTGCCGGGAGAAAACGTACCACAGTGACATCTCCTATGTCAGCACAGTCAAATCAGATGAAGATAAAGATGTAGAGACAAGGGTACAGGTAAACAAGTTAAATGATATTACTGTAAACCAATTTTTTTTTTCATCTTTTTATTTATTGATTTATGGATATGGTACAGGGAAAATGTGTCAGTCACTGTTTTATATATTCTGACAGAATCTTGTAAAGAAAATCTGGGTCACAATTTACATTCTCTGTTTTAAATCTCATTTTTGATACTCAAAAAACAATGTTTGAGCTTCATAACCAGTATATTTTTATTCAATTGAGAATTCTCTTATGTCTAAAGGGAAGTCACTCCACTAAGATTATTGGGATTATTCGATGTCTGAAGCAGATAAAGAGAGAAGACCCTGGTGCCAAAGTCCTGCTGTTTTCCTCTGTAAGTTCTCTCTAAAGGCTCCTCCAATGACAAGGCCTAGTATAAATAAAATTTAGTTGATTAATACCTTTTTTTAACTTCTATGTTTTGTATTTTAAAGGTACTTTGAAGATGCTTGATAAGGTTTTTTTAAACTCTGACTTTTGTGAAATTCATAATTTTTAATTGTACTATATTTAGTGGACAGACATTTTGAACATCCTGGTACAAGCTTTAGAGGAGAATGAGATCACCTTTAAAACACTGTTTTCTGGAAGTAAATTTCAGGTAAGTATTTATCATTCTAAACTGAGTATTAAAAATATTAAAATGTTCATGTTTTTTTTTTATAATAGGATAGTATGTTTAAATAACTATTTAACTGAAATATATGGCATATTAATATACATGCACAGGGTATTGTTTCTGCAAAGTTGACTTGTAAAGGTAAAATTTCTCATAGAAAAATTTGGCTGCCTTCAAGTCAGATGAGAACATAACAGTGTTACTTCTTCCAATTCATTCTGGAGCGAACGGACTGAATCTGATAGAGGCTACGTATGTTCTACTGGTGGAACCCGTGCTGAACCCTGCACAGGAGTTACAGGCCATCGGACGAGTACACAGAATAGGACAGACCAGGTAAGGGAAAATGTAGAAATAAAGTCTGATATCATTCCCGTTGTAATTTTTATTTGGTAAAGATTCACAGATTTATTGAAATTGCATAAAGAGAAGAAAATTTCAAACCATTCATGAATTAGTAATATAGAAAATACATGAGATCTAAGACGAATAAAGAGATGTTAGATGGAATTGTATATTTATGATCTCCCATGCTTTGTAGTCGGATATGATTTTTATCCAACGAGTTGTGTGTTTTTTAATCCGTGAGCCTTGGCGAGGGGATAAAAACACACAACGAGTTGGATAAAAATCATATCCAACTACAAATCATGGGAGATTCTTTTTATTCCATGTTTAATACTTCACAAACAATGTTTTACACTGTTTTTATATTGGACTCCACTTTATTTCATCACGCTAAAGCCAAAAACATTGTGACGTCATAACTGAGGGATAAAAAAAATATATCCAGTGAGTCATATCCACCAGATAAAGGGGTAAACATGGGATAAAATTTTTTTATAAGATTAAACCTAATAAATGAGTACACATCTATACATTGACTTGTAGACCAACCCAGGTCCACAGATTCGTGATCCGGGGGACGATAGAGGAGAAGATGTACAAAATGTTAAAATCAGCCGAGGCCACCGCCTCCAGTCACGATACAGAGGAAAACTGTCTCACCGTGGGGGATCTAACTTCTCTCCTGAAAGAGGAGCGGGAGGAGGATCCAGGAGAAAACTCTCAGACTCTATGACATCTCAGATTATTGTTTTTTATCCTTTTGTAAAGCAACAACAGTGATTAGGAATTTCTAAATGTTCTTTCTTTCACATGGACCAGCTTTTAATTGGAACAAGATGAGGACCAAAATAATATGTTCTAGTAAGATCAGGAAGTTGCCATATAGATGAAGTGGCTTGAATTAGATATTATAGTAAAGGTGTATCCTTTATGAATTTACACAGTGAACCTCATATTGAGGGCTGTATATACTTTTTATCTGTATACGTGTAGCTGTACTCTAGTAATGTTACACTTATCAATACAAGTTATATGTTTTTATTACATACTTAGTAATAAATACAGGATTTTTGCATATGCGATATGCCTGACATCACAATAGCTGTATCAGCCCTGCAGGGCTGATATGGATTTGTGGGGCTGGTATGGATTTGCAGGGCTGATACGGATCAATATTACACCCTTAGTAAATTAAACCTAAAAAAAAAACAGTAACTTTTTGAATGTAAGGATAATCTGATTGACAAATAGATTATTTTCAAATTACGGATCGGGGACATTTGAAATAGAAGTACATGTAGAAACAATTCCAAACCATATGAGACAAAAGACCGTGTAAATTGTAAGAATTCCATGCATGATTATTAACTTATTTTCTTCTCTACTGAAAGCGTTTAGTATTTTATTACTAAGTATGTAGTAAACATAAAAAACATACCCTTTTCCACATCACATCCTGTATCAGCCCTCGACCATTATCAGCCTCGGGCCTTCAGCCCTCTGGCTGATATTGGTGTCTCGGGCTGATACAGGATGTGATATGGAAAAGGGTATGTGTTATTCTATATTTATCGTTCTCACATACATGTATAAATGTGTGTATTTTTGTTGGATTCTTGTTTTTATGTGAAAATTGTGAATTGACACGTGTGCAATACTGCTAATATTAAAACTGAAAAGTTAAAAAGGCTTAAGGACATAAAGTCTTGATCGCATCAAGAACCAATTCAGGTTCCATGAAAAGCATGATGGTAAAAGTGCAGTTCACTGGTTGATAAATCCTTCACTATTTATGTTGGTTGTGTATTGTCTTTCAATGACACAGACACTTAATTAATAACGTGGGCATCATAAGGTTCTGCTGTGTTGTTGGACTCTGCTCTGATTTCTTTGATATTGTTTATGCGAACAAAAATAAGATGCAACATTATTTTCTAGAATGACTACACCCAGAATTATATTACTAAAATCTATTGAAAAAGTTAATAAAAGATATTGGATCACTTCAATTTTCCTCTTTTATTAACCATTCATTGCAGAATTTTGTATAAATTCTGTTCCTAAATATATGACTGTTTATGATAAAATAAATAAATGTATAGATGTGTACATATAATATATACCTTGTAGCCTTATGAATAAAGAGATAGAAATCAAGGTTTCTAATAGATATCCATTCATATGTCGACACAATATATTCCATCGCACTTGATATAATAGAAACCACAGATTTCATTTCTCGATATTTTTATTATCACAAAAGACGTTAATGGTTACCTTACAACAAATCTTTATGATGCAATATATTATAAGGAGATAACAATCAGTATTCACACTCAAAAGTCCATTTAACGTACAAAACAAAATAGGAACGGAGCAAACACAGATCTCCAAAATATCAGGCATCACCTGTGGGCCAGTCACACCCACCGTGTGCTCCTTGTAATGATTGAGAAATAACTGAAAATCCCTCAAAGACAATTCAGTCATAATTAATTGCTTATCAATTTGTATGAAAAATGTCAGAGTTTACCTAAGTGATAGATTGTATTTTTGCAAACAATGTTATTTTATCGACCATAGAACTTCACAAAATGATGACTTTAAACAAGACTGCTGATATTTTTCTATCATCAATTTGTTTGTCAATAATTTACCTTGTTTTAGAAATTCTTCATACATAGAGTATGCTCTTTCATATCTAATCAACTGAGAGATCAAAAACACCGTATGCAGTTGGTAAAGATAGTGAGGAAAGTTGACATTTAAAAAGTTATTCAGAACGCTCATCATAAAGTTTTGTTGTTAAGGTTACCAGTAACGTCTTATTTAGTAAATTATCCAAAAATGAAACATGTTTCAGACCTTGAGGCATCTGTAATCTGTGACCACAGCAAGTGATTTCGTCTTCTAAAATTTTGAGCAAATTTTGCTTCATATGAATACAGTAATAGGTCTTCCAACAATATATTCGCAATGGGCACTCATATAATAGAATTTCATTTCATTTTTGGATATTTTTATTAAAAGCCACATATAGATACTGTCAATCAGAAACTCATTGAGCATCTTTTTGATGTCAATTTCAGAGTACTTGTGTATTTTTAATGAAAAAGCAGCTGTCAATGATGTCAAAAAAGCCCCGACTTTATCGTGGGGAATGGTTGTATATAAAGTTTAAAAGTCATTTTTTATGTTGTTGATTTTGGTTAAATTTTTTATTTCAAATTTTCTTACAGGTTCCTTAAAATGTTTAAGTGCCCACATCTGATTTATACCACTTCTTGACTGTATTGCCGCACAGTACTTCAGAAGGTTCTCATTCACTACTGTTAATATTTTAGTGGGGAGTAAGAAAGCGACTTGGTAGAACATTTACTAGATCCCGCTATGTATCTCTGTAAGGATTTTTATCAAGTTTTGGAATCTAACAAAGATATGGTAATTCAAAGTCATTTTGGTTGTGGAGAATATTAAAAATATCAAAACTGTCATGAATATTAAAAATATCAAAACTTTCATGATTTTCAAGAAATCCCTCGTGAGAAAGGGAGCTATAAGGGTATATTAGTTAAATTACCACTTGTAGAATAGAAATACTGAGCTATACAAACAAAGGCAATGTTGTTCTCTGCTTTGTCAGTAGGGACCAGTACATAAAATGTTGACTTTAACTTTCTAGTTTCATCTTCCTTTACTTATACCTGTACGTAGAAATATACCCTTATCACCTGCATATGAAGATTACGTCTCGCCGTTTATTCGATACACATTGGCATGCTCTACGTATAATCAATTTTCTAACATAAGGCAAGTTTTTAACAAACAAGTAGATGAATAATTAATAATAATTAATATTATATCAAGAGTTTTATTTAAAGTCATTATTTTGCAAATTCTTTTGGCGATCAACGACTTGTCAGCAAATACAATCTATCATTAAGTCGAATGCTAACTGATTTTGTTTTCACAATATTTGTTAGGCCATTAACATGATTAATTATTTACACACTGAGTTGTGTACGGATTTGTCCGATCATGACCATGAGTACACAGAGTGTGTAACAGGTTGACATGGAATGTTCACTCCTTCATGCCAATCTCAGCCCTGATGTATTTAGAGGTTCGTATTTACTCTGCTCCCGACTTGTATTGTTTTAATGCACTTAATTGCTTGTAATCATCTGTTCAGCTCTATGACGAGAAAATTGAATGAAGTCTTAGAATGTGAATGCCGATATTTTCCGTAGGTTCATAATAAATCTACACTCATAATACCTGCTATATATTATTAGGTAGCATTGTGACAGGATGTATTTTTACCCTTTCCCTTTCCCCCCTAATTCTGAACAGTCTCTTTTGGAATGTGACTTACTGACCAAATATGAATGATCGTTAGCAAACACGGTTCTGATCGTTCACAGGGTCTTAAGCAAAATCGGGAATATAGTTTGTGAACATTCAGCAGGGGTTGCTCACTCCTCGATTGGACCTGATTCCACCTCTAATGTTTTGGAGGTCCGTGTTTGCTCTGATCATATTTTGTATTGTTTTATGTCTTGAATACTGTTCGTTCAACCAAGTCTCTTTCGTTACTCCTCACTAAGATATTGATAGTAGTGAAGGGAAAACGTCAAGAGCACTGTGCAACAACATATTCAAGAAGTGGTGTGAATCAGATGTGGATACTCAAAAATTCCAAAGAACTTTTGAACAAATTCAAATCACAAGATTTTACCAAAATCAACAGCTTAAAAACTTACACGACTTTTCAACTTTATGCACAACCATTCCCCACGATAAATTAAAGTCCAGGCTTTTTGATATCATTGACAGCTGCTTTTTCAATAAAAATGGAACTCGTAAATTTACTTACCTGGTCATTGGTCATTTGCAAAATTATTTTGTTAAAGCACATTCTGATTGCACACACAAGTTCTATGAAGTTGACATCAAAGATATGCTTGAGTTTCTGATTGACAATATTTATGTGGTTTTTGGAGACCAGGTATTCCAACAATCTATTTGAATTCCCATGGGAACCAATGGCGCTCCGTTATTAGGAGACCTATTTTTATATTCATATGAAGCAGAATTTGTGCAAAATCGTATGCGTGAAAACAAGAAAACACTTGCAGTGGCCTTCAACTCGACATTTAGATATATCGACGACGTATTGTCAATTAACAATGGTAATTTCCATTCCTACGTCGATACGATATACCCTGGTGAGCTTGAGATAAAAAATACCACAGAGTCTGATACATCTGTTTCATACTTGGATATTTAACTTGAAAAAGACGTTAATGGTAATCTAACAACCAAGCTATATGATAAACCTGATGACTTTAACTTTTCTATCGTCAACTTCCCTTACTTATGCAGGAATATATACCTTCATCACCTGCATACGGAGTATATATATCTCAGTTGATTCGATACGCAAGAGCATGCTCTACGTATGTATAATTTCTAAAACGAGGTAAATTATTGACAAGCAAGTTGATGAAACAAGAATATCAGCAGATCTTGTTTCAAGTCATCATTTCGTAAGTTCTATGGTAAATACAATGACCTTGTCAGCAAATACAATTTATCATTGAGTCAAATGCTGACTGACGATTTTCATACTAATTGTTAGTCCGTTATTTATACACGGAATTGATGACGGATTTTTCCGTTATTTCCTGATTATGACAAGGAGCACACGGCGGATGTGACCGGTCGGCAGGGGATGCTCACTCCTCCATGGTACCTGATCCCCTTCTGATGTTTCGGACGTCCGTGTTTGCTCTGCTCCTTTTTTGTATTGTTTTATGGACTTTGAGATTGAATGATGTTCGTTATCTCCATATCCTTCTCCATATGTTTCATATACAGTGTGTACCCGATTTTGCTAAGTTGTCTCAAGATCCTGTGATTCTGATGAAATAAATAAAATATAACAACAATTACAAGAGCTAATGAAAAAAAAATCAAAACCAAGAAAGAAATTGATTTTATATTTGTAATAACACATTTATCATAATTTCCCCATCTTCCATGTTATGAAGATTGATTTTAAATATCGATTTACATAATGTAGAAATATGCTGACACTATATTGTAGGAACTCCAGGTCTTGGAATTAAAATTCAATATCTACTCTCGCTTCCTTCCATAAATCAATTAATTTTCTAATTAACTTTCTCTGAAAATACATCTTGAGCATTAGAGGACGAGAATTATATCTGGGAACTTAGCTGGTCATCAGCTACTCCGACAAGACGATGTCATTAAGAATTTTCCTCTTCTGTTTTATTGATCCTGTCCTCGTATTTAATGAGGTGCTCGCTGCTTTTACCGAAATTAATTCTAACACAGATAAACAGTGTTCTTTCGTAATTTGGAAACAGGAGACAAATCTTCATTCAGAGAAAGCTCTAAGTGTGTGGGCAATAAAATAGAACAATATATAAAAAGTCCATAATGACATTTTAGGTCACCCGAGTCACTTAGATACCAAGTACATGTATTATAATAATCTGTTTTTATCCCTCACCATTTGTGGTCAGTTAATATTTGAATATTCCAGCTTCTTCAATTCTCTAGAACAACTAAACTAGTTTTCAACCAACTTTGTTATAAAGCCTCTATTGGTCTCTTCCTTCCTGCGCCAGATGGGTATAATAAAAAACGTCAAAGCATAAAAATGGTCGTAAACTACAAATCTTGAAAACAAAGATATAAAGCGGACCCAGTAAATGTTCTGCAAAGTCTCTTTCTCAGGTAAAAGCTAAAATATTCACAACAATGAATGAAAAACTTAAGGAGAACTATACAATGTATTTAAGAGGTGGTGTTTACCAGTTGTGGATATTCAAAAACTTCATTTTTTTTAAAAACCAAAATTGAAATCACATTTCATCTCCCAAAACCATCAAAGTCTCACACAAAATGTTTCAATTTTGATGGTTTACTCGAAACAGGCATGTATAGCAACAGGAGGGGAGGGGGTCACTTTTTTTCCCAACATTACTTTTAGTATTGAAATTGTTCATTGATTGAAACGCTGGTTGCCCCCCCCCCCACTGTTTACTAAAGTAAGTAATATGAAGGTAATGTAGAACTGTATGGGGGAAAAAAAGAAAAGGCCAAACTCGAAAATCCTATTGTGTGTGTGTGTGTGTGTGTGAGGGTGTGTGTGTGTGTGGGGGGGGGGGGGGGGGGTACACACACCCAGGCAATTTTTTTTCAATGCCAATTCCTTTCAATAACCTTGTCAACTTTTTCAGGTAAGTACAAAAAAATCAGGTATGTAAAAAAAATTCTCTGGTTGCCCCCCCTTTCAAAATCGATGCTGCGTGCCTGCGAAAAGCGCGTTAGTGATAACCTGGCAATGAATGATACGGAGACAACGAACAGTAGTCAATATCAAAGTCCGTAGAACAATACAAAATAGGAGCAGAGCAAACACGAACCTCTAAAACATCAGAGGTGGGATCAGGTGCCATGGAGGAATGAACATCCCCTGCGGACCTGTCACACCCGCCTTGTGCTCCTTGACATGATTGAGAAATAACAGAAAAATCCGTCGTCAATTCAGTGTATAAATAATGGACTAACAATTAGTATGAAAAACATCAGTCAGCATTTGACTCAATGATAAATTGTATTTGCTGACAAAGTCATTGTATCGACCAAAAAAAGTACGAAATGATGACTTTAAACTTTATGATAAACGTGGTGACTTCAATTTTTCTGTCCTCACCTCTCTTATCTATGTAACTATATACTATTACTACCTGCATGTGGAGTTCATGTCTCCCAGTTGATTCGGTTGGCAAGAATAATTTTTAAAACGAGACGAGCTCTTGACAAATAATATGAAGTGAAACATATGGAGATAACGAACAGTATTCAAGATCAAAAGTCCATAAAACAAGACAAAACAGGAGCGAGCAAACACAGACCTCAAAAAATCAGAGGTGGGATCAGGTGCCATGGAGGAGTGAACATCCAAGGATATAACGACAGTGCCTTTTAAAGTCGGAATATTACATTTGAATATTACATTTGAACGTTGAAATATACTTTATTTTGATAATTGCTTTAAAAATATTGGGAAAATGTTCGTTTTTATAGGCTAGTATACTTTAAATCGATTTAAAGGAAATTGTAACAGAAGATGATGTGTATAAATATAAAAAAAAAAAAGAATTATAAGGGAGGATAAGATATTGAATTAGAGTTTTACCTTTTGTCCCCATTGTGGTCTTTTAAAATATTGTCCAGGGATGTTTGAATAACTGATATATGATTGTCACAAGTTAGAATGTCGTTTCAATAAATCATTGAAATTAATTCGAAACGGGAGTTATCTTTATTGCTTTAATTCAATTTTATTTGAAGAAAAAGATGTATGACTGTCACACTTTTAAATGATAAAGTTTCAATAGGTCTTCGGGTATTGAATTTTGGTAAAATGCATTTTGAATCACCATAAAGTGAAACCTGATTTTAGTCACACAAAGACTCTTCAAAATATAATGGAATCTTCAGTTTGAAAAAAAAAATCAACTGAGAGGCGGTTAGTATTACAGAAATTTAAATCATTTGATAATATGTTTTTAAAAAAACTATAATCATTCTTATTTGTGCTCGACCCGGTAGATAACAACAGACAAAAGGAAAAGAAAGATTAATATCAGAAAACATTGACTCAGAATTATTTCTCAATAGATTTTGATAGAACATTTAATTGGCCTACATTGTGTGTTCGCATAAATATGAACATACAAACGTCTAGATACGCTATATAAGATCAATATATATCGATAAGTAAAAATGCATATGGTATACACGCTGCAGTTAGAAGGTTTAAATGGAACCGATCATGCGCAGTGGAGTATAGCAATGGATCTTAGAACCAAGCCATGGCTTTATACTCTGATACGAGGGCTTAAATATTAATACACGTATCTAATGACGAAAATATTTTTGACATTGTTTTACAGGAGATCGAGGATTTAAATATTACAGTAAAGATGTTAATCTAGGGGAATTAAATTCTTATTTCCCAGTCTTTGGCAACATGTGGCTAAGTAGAAAACGGACGCTAGTTTAGATATGTGGATTTCTAGTTCTGGATTTATATGGAAATTTTTCATTTTTGTGGGTAAGTGTTTTAAACATATTATCTTTTTTAATCTCACGAAGAAATGTCTTCTTTCTTGAGCTGTTCAAGTTCATTGACAGGTCAATATGTATTTTCCCCAGACAATAAACTCGATGTACGGCTACTCAGAAAACATTTTTTTTTCTGAAGAATGAATGCCATAGAAGTTAAAAAGCTTAAAAATATTAACAACTGATTCAATCTTACAGTCTTTGCCTTCATTCACCAGGCAATAAAGTTGACTCCTAATCGTACCTTAGGAACAGATATAACAAAATATCAGCATATACAGCACTGTCAAGCATGGCAAAATGCTTTAATTTGATAATTCTATGTGTTCCCCCGAATGTAGAAATTGAAACGATACAGGTACATGTACACCTTCATGGTCTTGGTCCAGAACTCTGAACCACAAATCTATATAGTTGTATTGACACAAGAATTCATTTCCGACCACCGACTGTATTATAGTGTATACTGTGTTAATGCGAATGTAAATGGTATCCATTCTAATATATTGATCCCGTCCTTGGATAAACAACCTTTATCCTCAACAAGGTCGCCTTAATTGAACGGTAATCTGGCCAGCTAGGACAGAATGGCCAAAGAAAAGACACAAATATCAATTTCCTTAGTCTAACTACGTATAATATGACACTTGATTGTCAAATTCAGTCAATAGGAAATCAAAATACGCATTCACATTTAACATTTTAATTATTTTAATGAGTTTCGTGTCTTTGTCAATTCAAAGTTTAAATTTTTAAACAGTTTTGGGACATGAAATTTTTCCTTTTAAGAATTATGTGTTGTTTAGTTGTTAAATTCCTCGTTTTCAAATTAAACCTATCCTTTTGGGAGATACACATTGTTAATTGATGACTGTGTAAAAGTGACACAGCGTCAATAATAAAAGTTGTAAACATTATAAGTTGATTGCAATAATTCTATGGAGATTTGAAATCCATCAAAATTTATTAATAATAGATAGATTACTCCTTACAAAAATTGATTAAATTGAATTGAGTACATGGTTTAAATGAATTGAGTATCTTAAGGACTCACTGAAAATTGTGGGACCAGAAAAGTAAATTCTGAATAGATATATGCAATAACACTTATCTTCACAAAACTTTTTCTTTCAAAGAGCTACTCAATTTTATAAAGGACAGTTTAATTTTATTGAGTATTTGATCTCAATGCCAACGATGTTTTTAAAGGCTTTAACAATCTGATGTGAAAAAAAAAATCATTCTGAAAGATACGAGTACATGTCGTTTATCGACCAAAGATCCAGCTTGTAAAAGCTTATTGTTGAAGCATTAGACAGTGTATAGACTATTTCATCTTATTACATAAAAAAGAAAGACTATTTTTGCACTTTCTGTCAAGATTGTATACATATCCTACATAGAACTGATAAAATGGAAAAAATGGATCTGCTAATAAGATTTTTTTTAGAAAACAAAATGAAAAGAGATGATTGTGAACAAAAAGAGTTATGTTCAAGAATTATTGGTTTCACATACCATGAAAGATGAATGTTATTTTATGGACTTCTCTAATGAAACATGAAGATACAAACAAACAGTAATCATGTTGAGCAGACTCTTTACTTAAACAACACAAATCAGAAGCAGAGCAAACACGGACATCTAAACCATAGAGATGGGATCAGGTGTCATGGAGGAGAGAGCGTCCCCTGGTGAACGGTCACATCCGCTGTGTGCTTCTTGGGAAAACTAAATAATCAATGGGAAACTCAATGTGTAAAATAGTGGCAAACAGTTATTTTCAAAACTGTGCAATTTTCAGGTTCTAGTAAAATGCATTAGGTGCCTTTCGATCTAATCATTTTAATAAGAAAATATATCTAAAGATGTCGAGATCTTAATTAAAAAACCCAATTTTTTAAATCAAGTTTCTGACACGCAATCTATACTAAACGATCGAATGTTCATCATTATTATTTTTTTAACTCATTGCTTCACTTGGTATACCTGAAAGTTTTATAACCCGAGTCGACACACCTGGTGTGAGTTACGTTACTGTTAGTCTAAAAAACAATTCCTATTCAAGGCTTACGGATACCTTCTTTACCATTCCATTCTTATTCATTAGCTTTTGGACATTTAGAAAAAAGGTCAAGGTAGTAAGTACCAAAATCAGACTATGGTAAATAATGGATAATCGTTTCTTTTAACTGCGAATTGACGCAGTTTGTCTAACACAGTTTTGCAAAATATAAGGAAGACAAAGAATAAATAAAACTAAAATAAATTCCTCCCTTGAAATGTAAAAATGGTGATATAAATTTTCCTTGTTAAATAATGGTTAAAAAAGGGAAAAAACAAGCACATTCACTTAAATATCTTTGAATAATCTTGAAGCCAAAAAACTACATTTTTAACATTGATGATATTTTTGGTAAATAAATGAAACATCTGAATACAACTATTAAAAGTACACGACTAGTTTAAATACATTATTTAAAAGAAGCTCATTTTCCTTTAAAAGTCTTCTGTTTCTATCTATGGTTGTTTACAATAAAATATTAACATATTCAGAGTGAATGCTTTTAGTTCCATTATTTGGCCTACCGTTCATACATAGTTACACTACCCTTGTGTGTTTTTGTGTCACAGCTCTAACTATCCAGGTAGAAAATCATCTCGGTTTAATCCCCCTTAAGCCTTTTTGTCAACAGTCCCTACTCAGATATATAAAGGAATATCTTTTTAATCCCAAAACCCAATGTTTTATGAAAATATTAATAAAAAATGCATAGAAAAATTGAATAGCGATTTTTTTCTGTGAAGAGTCGAAGTTTTTAAATAACAACAGCTGAAAGTGGTGTTTAAAATATTAGTGAGGGGAAGATGTTTTTAGAATGTCCTCGGTAGGAAATTTTGAAATGAATTTTTAAAGATCTAATTTTTTAAATAAAGTAAACTTAATCCACTTTTACAAATTTTGTGTCTTACTTTTTCAAACGAGATATTTATTTCAAGTAAGGAGAGGCTAAAATGATTTCCATATACATTGTAACAAATGCTGGTTTTACAAGTTTTTCATTTTAAATCACGTAATGTTAGTTACTAGTATTACAAATACTAGTATTCTACTCAAAAACTAACAATTTGGGCATAGTTTTGTGCCGTTTTCAAAAAAGTTCTTAATTGTTTAATAGTCAGTAAAATTGCTGCTTTAACAAGAATTAAGATAATGTCCCAATTTTCATAAATGTATTAGTTAGAATCAATAACAACATTATTTCCTTGTGAAATATGCAAGTCAGTTGCTGCGATTGAATATTATACATATTTTTTCCAATATGCAAACAATTGTTTGACAAATATTATTCAAGATATGCAAACAATTTTCGACACTGTTTACGCATATGATACCACATCTAAATTGAATTGGTTATCATTCCTGCATTTATAGTAATCAAATAATTAATAACTTCTACAACAGCGGTTAAAAAAACTTTTCTTAAAATCATCGTCAAAGGACAATGTAGTCCCTTTCTGGCTCTTGGTTTTAAGGTTATATAGAAAAGCTGAAACTTATGTGGAAGCATCCTGGTATAATGTAGATTCTAAATTGTTCAAATAATGACCCCCGGGGGAAGGGCGGTGCCACAATGATGAATCAAAGTTTTATATAGAAATATATAGGAAAAATCTTTGAAAATCTTCTTCTCAAGAACCACTGGGCCAGAAAAAGTGAAACTTATGTGGAAGCATTCTGGGGTAGTGTAAATTCTAAATTGTAGGAATCATGACCCCCGGAGGAAGGGCGGGGCAATTATAGGGAAATCAAAGTTTTACATAGAAATATATAGGAAAAATCTTTGAAAATCTTCTTCTCAGGAACCACTGGGCCAAAAAAGCTGAAACATATGTGCCCATGGAAGGATCATGGGGTAGTGTAGATTTCAAAATGTCTAAATTATGATCAGTGGGGTAGGGTGGGGATGCATTATGTATAACAAGGGGGAAATCTGGTAAAGAACAGAATAGTCAAAGCTTCTCAGGTGAGCGATGTGGCCCATGCGCCTCTTGTTTTTTTTTTTTTTTGGCAAATTCTTAGAGTCAAGTCTAGAAACAAGATTCCAATGTTTTTACACCAAACAGACTGAACATATTATACACTTATATAATGGCGCCATTACGATTTCATGAGTTTTGTTTGTCTGCCGATTTTTTTATTATTTATAAGCAGGTGATAGAAGAAACCCTTTTCTCTAAATTTCTATCAATAATTCAGGATGCTCCCATTACAGTTCAGTCCTGTTGTTCTTACCCTTAGAAAGCTTCATGTCCTGTTGACTATCATTAAAGCCTGAAGAAAATCAATCGCCAGTCATTAAAATCTGTTTGCTAACGTCATTATATTTCGTCTACTGTTTATCGGATTTCAAGGTCTGTACTTTAATTACTCAGTTTCATTTTTCAATTAAATATTGATTAGATTCCAGTACTCTCGTCATGGTTATATTATCTTGGAGAATGTCTGCTCAATATTCCAATGGACATTATAAACGACATGTATCAAACCTATTGTAAATATTGTCAATCTAAGAATGAAATATATGGAGAAAGGGAACAGTATTCAAGCTCAAAGGTCCATTCGACAATACAAAATAGTAGCAGAGCAAACAAAGACCTAGAAATCATCAGAGGTGGGATCATGTGCCATGGGAGACTGAGTATCCTCTGCCGACCGGTCACACCCGCCGTGTGCTCCTTGACATGATCAGGAAATAACGGAAAAATCCGTCGTCAATTCTGTATAAATAATGAACTAACAATTAGGATGAAAAACGTCAGTCAGGATTTGACTTAATGATAAATTGTATTTGCTGACAAGGTTCGTTGTATCGACTTACGAACTTACGAAATGATGACTTGTAATGAGACTGATGATACTCTTGTTTCATCAACTTGTTTGTCAATTATTTACCTCGTTTTAGAATATATTCGTAAAGAATGCTC